GAGCTGCTTTTTTAGTTTGTTTTATAAACTAGTATCCTAGTCCTCAGCCTGGACATTGGTCTTGTGAATGCAAAACAGATCTGAAGTGGCCTGGTTCATGCTAAACTGAGAAGCCCACGAAAGCTGCTCCCAGCTACCTGGTTAGATAGTTCTCACAGGCTGACAAACCAGCATTGAATGTGGTGCTCAAAATTATAAGGATAAGTAATGGGAGTAGTTAGTGAAGTTGAGCCAAGTGTTTAGATGCCCTGTGAGGTCACTAAACCAGAGAATTCCCTGGAGTATGAAACACTATGGCAAATTTTGTTTCTGTTCTGCACATTCTTTGATGTCTGGGCCCAGCACGAGGTGTCCAGCGTTCTAAACTTGAATAAGCTATTGAATTTGAGTCCCCCTAACGGCCATGTATTTTTGGTTATAGTGACCACACTGCAGGGAGATATCTGCCCTCGAACCCCGGGCCTGGACAAGAGGAAGTAGAATATTACCAGTCAGAGGCTGAAGGACTCCTGGATTGCCACAAATGCAGATACTTGTGTACTGGGAGAGGTGAGCCATTTTGGAGGTAGTTTGGCCATTTACTATCGCCAATGGTTCTGGAAGGGGTCTGAACTGGTGAAGCAAAAATTCAAGTAGAATTGGATTCTTAGCGTTTTCATTTCCATGCTTGCGTGAGGTTCTTGTTTTCTAAACAAACAAACAAACAAAACAGGTAGAAGCGTCTGAAAGGTGCAGCTAGGTTTCAGGTGCTTCTCACACAGGCACTGGGGTCTGAGTTAGGAAAGTCACCTGGAGGGGGCAGTTAGGTTGTAGCTCACGACAAGAGATCCGATGCTTAAACATTCCATCATGGCTTTTAAACTTTGTTGACTAAGATCCACAGTAAGAAACATATTTTACATTCAGATGGAGTTCACACACACACACACACACAAATATGCTGTGAAACAATACTTACCCTATTACATACCAAGTGCACAGATTATTTCTATTCTATTCCTGTTTGATTGAAAACAAAACCAAAACACCACGCTTAGTAGAGCCCAGAGTTTGAAAAACACTTAACTGTCAGTTCCAAATGTGGTTTCCCAGAGGTCCCATCCGAACACCAGTCTTGGCCTTGCCAGCAATGAAGAAAATCTGGTTTGTCAGGGTGATCCCTTATAGCTCACATGATTAGGTGAGAAATTTTCCTAGGCTGCATATAACTAAGAGAGAGAAATTCTCAGCCTAAGGGAGAGAAATCAAACTTATACCTGAATATGTATTTTAGGATGATTACAATGATATACATGATTATAGGATTATATACAACTTTCTTTGAAGAGCTATATAGGCAATCCTGGTACAAGAATCCTCACTTTAGTTTACCTATGTTGGCACAATCTTGTTGCTTTTAATTCTCTCAACAACTCCTGAGGCTCAGAGAGGTATAGTAAGTTACCCAAAGTCATCCAGCTATTTAGTGAAAGAACTGGAATTGAAACTTAGAGCTTGACTCTACGGCCTGAAATGGTTTCCTTGCTTGACCTTTTTCTTTTCTTGATGATATAAATAATAGGAATAAGCCAGAGGCTATTTTCTATATAGAGATATGTTTTCTTCGTGGTTGATTTATCAGGAGGAGAGGGCAGACCTTGAGGCTCCTGACCAAAGCACACCTTGATTTACCTTTGTTTGCTTCTAGCCATTTGGCTTTGGGCCTAGATGTTGGGTTTCTGAGTCAAGCTAGCAAAAGGATGGCTCAGCAGCCAGAAGCTAACAAATGAGGGCTTATAAAGATCTCTGGGCAGGCAGAGACCCATATAAATACACAATACGGTGTTGTGTTAAGAGAAGCAGCCATTCAACACCAGGAACTTTTCTCAAACAGGAGATGCATGCCTGGATAAAGGTCACCCAAACACTTTCACCCTCGTCTTGGAGTACATCTTTTATGACTTCTTTTCCTTATCGGTGAAATCATGTCCTCCTCCAGCAAACTGGCAAAAGTGGGAGGCAGCTGTGGCCCTCTCCAGCTTCCAGGGGAGACCCCGAAGTTTGGGCTACGAGTCATCCTAGCTTAGGAAGCTCCGCGGAACACTAGAACACTGACGGAAAGAGAGAGGCTCTAAATCCACTTTTACGGTCAAACCCCTTAGAGATTAAAATCTTCACGTGCTGAGGATAAAGATGAGAGAAAAAGCAAGTGCAAGCGTCACGTGTGCGTGTCAGATCACCAGGAATCCTGTGCGTGTGCAGGCTGTGCTCATTTATTTGGAGGGACCCATGAGGAGTTGCGTGTTCCCTGGGAAAAAGGTACATTTCCCGCTCCTCTCCTGGCTCCCCCCATTTGCATCTGGAGCGGGTTCTCCTTTCCCTTTTGTTCTTTCCCTCTCCCTTTAGACCCTTAGTGCTCAAAGGGTCATAGATCAGAGGAGAGCTAGGCCAGCGTAATAAGGAAATTGTAAAAAAAAAAAAAAATTAGGATGATGTTTGCATTCAGCTTGTAGCCTTACTCGCATACCATCTTTAGAAGTTTAATTTCATTTTCTCCCAAGAAAGTCGTCATCCCAGAGTCAGTGGTGCTTGTCTCTCTCTCAGAACCTGGAGATTTAGGTTTTGAGATGGCTCCCCCAGTCAGTGGCATTGACTTGCGATCACACTAGAAAGGTTCAGGGGGGACAATTGTGGATGTTTTCCCCCAATTTATATTCTCAGTCACTCCTTTTCAGTACTTATTTAATATCCTAACCCAGTACTTATCTGGACTGAGCTCACGCCAAGATTTCAAACCACAGTTGACTTTAAGAATGTTAACCCATTAACAAATCTGAAGGATTCACCCTAAGTCAGAGGAAGGAATAACCATGAATGAACTACTGCTTCTTAGGAGAGAGTCGGAGTGGGGGAGGGGGGTACCAGAGATTCAAGAGGTGAAGAAGGCCTGGAGAGCTTCTGAGCCTTTATTTTTAAAAACAGGTACCCCTGGACGTCCCTCCTTGTGATTCTTTTCTGGTTCTGTTAAACCTAAAACAGAAATAAGGGACTTGTGTCCTCTTCGCATTCTATTAAAAAAATATATAGCATATATTTGCTCCTATATAGCAAAAGGTTGGGAAAAACCTAAATATCCTTTACATTGGAAGTATTTAAAATCATCATGATATGTATTCATTATATCCTTTAAAATTATGAAATAGATTTTTATTTTTGCTGAGATGGAAAAAATGTTCACATTATTTTCTTAAGTGAAAAAATAGGTTATATAAACAGTAGAGTGGGACCTTGTTCTTACCTAAACAAACGAATAAACAGCAAAAATTATGCATATATGGCATAAAGTCCAGAAGAAAAAACAATGGTAACTGTGTATTTTTTATTTGTTGGATTTCAGATCATTTTTTCATTATATGTACTTGTTTCATCTACTTTTTAAAAATAGTATGTGTTATTTTTATAATTAAAAAATGCTCTTTGCATTTTGGGGGAAATTTGTAGAATATAAAGATAACACATGAGAGCACAGCATTTCAATCAGAGAATGTGTGGATGGACCAGATGCACCGGGCACAAAATTTGGTTCTCTAAAAGCGAAAGCTGACCCACTGGAACCCTCCCAGCATGCACAGTTTCCAGCTCAGAAGCACCCAGCTTTATATTATGCTGAGAAAAAGAAGCCACACAACTAAAGAGTACATAACTGTGTGATTCCATTTACTTGAATTTCTAGAAAAGGCAAACCTAACCCCTCAAGGCAGAAAGCAGATCAGTGGTTGCCGAGGAGGAAGGTTAGGGATTGACCGCGAAGGTCCACTTTCTAGAGAACTTTCCGGGCAGATGAAATGGTCTCTGTCTGGATTGTGATTACATGACTATGTGCCAGAACTCAAGCTGCATGCTTCACATGGGCCGTTTTGTTGTATGTAAGTTCTATCTCAGTAAAGCTGATTTTAAGGAAAGCAGCCAGCTTTGCTGGAAGAGCTGGCACTCTTATCCAAGATAGAGGAGCCAGGGGCCCTGAAGGAATCCAGCTCTGGGAAAATATCATGGCCCAAGGAAATTAAAGAAAACGAAGTTATACTTAAAAAAATACTGAATTAAATCTAAAAACAATAAAACCAATTAGATTTCTTTAATTCCGTTAGCCCGACGGGTTTGATTAACTTAATCTTTGCTATGTCTAATACACGTAAACCACAGTTAAGGTTTTGGTGTATAACTTCCATTCTTTTTTCTAACTTCATTATATATTTTTTAAGTTCTATAATATAATTTCCTTCAAACTTAGAGAAGTCTCCTTTTTCAGACTGAAGATAGCCACCTAACAAATCGAAAGCGGAGATAACAATTTCTCAGTCTTTCTGGCAGAGAAAGGCTGGGGCAGAGAATGCTCTTGCCTTCCATACAGCATGCCTTTCTTTCTGCTCACTGGCCTGATTTCTCCTGCACCCCCACCTGGGACTTACTCTTCAGTCCATTGTCCTGCACCCCGACCTGGGACTTACTCTTTTCAGTCCAAAGTATCTCTGACATCATTTCTGGAAACCGCAGTTCCCTGCTACCATCTAATGCAGCTTTGGCTGCTCAGGCCTTCCAGGGGGCGGAAGCAAGAGCCAGCTGCGGTTTGAGCTGCCCCGGGGAAGATAAGCCTCAAGGTGGAAGTCTCCAGGTGTGAGATCGCATCTTTCAAAATGGTAACGAGCCCTTCTTTTGCAGCCTGCTGCCAAATGCTGGAGGTTCTCCTGAACTTGCTGATCCTGGCCTGCAGCTCTGTGTCTTACAGTTCCACAGGGGGCTACACAGGCATCACCAGCTTGGGGGGCATTTATTATTACCAGTTCGGAGGGGCTTACAGTGGTTTCGATGGTGCTGACGGGGAGAAAGCACAGCAGCTGGACGTCCAGTTCTACCAGCTAAAGCTGCCCACGGTCACAGCGGCAATGGCCTACGGTGGAGCCCTCATGGCCTTCTGCTGTCTTTTTATCGCCGTAGGCGTCCTGCGGGTCCCATGGCATTGTCCTCTGTGGCTGCTGGTTGAAGGCTTGCTGGACACGCTCATTGCCGGGGCGTACGTGCCTGCTCTGTACTTCTACTTCCACTCCCTCTCCGCCGCCTACGCCTCGCCCGTGTGTAAGGCGAGGGAGGCGCTGTACCAGAGCAAAGGCTACCACGGTTTCAGCTGCTCGTTCCACGCGGGAGATATAGGAGCTGGCGTCTTTGCTGTCCTGGCCGTGGGGATCTTTGCCCTGGGGGCCATGCTGGCCATCAGGGGTTACCGAAAGGTCAGGAAGCTAAAAGAGAAGCCTGCAGAAATGTTAGTGTTTTAGGCTTTCTAAAATGGTCTGCCACATATAAGGGATGAAAATTACTCTGAACCATGGTCTCTCATGGAATACACCGCTGTGGAACTTGCCAGTGCTTGAAGAGTAACAGGCCAACTTTGGTATGCTGGGTGCAGCTCCGGGTTGCAGTGGACCAACCAACATTAAAAAAAAAAAAAAAAAAAGCCAAGCCCAAGACCCACAGGAAAAGGCATGTGCTACAGCCAAGTGCACTTGACTAAATAAAGGGAGATAATCGAGTGAATTTGAAGAACCTTATCTTCAAAGTTCATGGAAAGCCACATAGATGTGACATTTCGGCCTAAACTTTTCTAAGCACAGCTCTCTTAAGCAGATTAGTCCTGAAGTTTTACCACACGGAACTCTGCAGTCCTTTACTTCCTTAATGCTCTGGATGGAGGGGGTGGGTAGTGCATGGGGAGACCAGTCCTATAAAATTTAAGTTGGAAGTAAGTGTGGGCTGAGAAAAGAGAAATCGGATTAATTCGCTGGGTTGCAAAGAGGCTATTCTAACAAGACCAATAGGCCTTTTTCGAGGCTTTACCATAGCCTCGAAAGCTCAGTGTTTTGTACCTCTTGTAAATGTACCATTGTACGAAGAATAAAACCCAACATCTGGAATTCACCCAGAATAAGAGAATGTAAAATCGTTCCCAACAGAAGAATGCTGCTTTTGGCCAGACAACTTCACGGGTTCTTACTGCATGTTAAATTACGACTTATGGCATGTTACACTATATTCTGGGTACAAGTAAATATGTTCTTTGATTTATGTGAATCTAATAAAAATCCAAAGAAAAATTTTAATTTGGAGGTGATAGTTCTCTTTCAATACATTTGTAATATTATTTCCTTAAATACAGGCAACGTCATATTTAAAAGGTGAGTCCATTTGCGTTTAGAAAAGGAAATAAGTATGCATATATGCTTAGTGTATGATTGGAAAATTTCTCGAAGAATACATTTAAAAAGCATTAGCAATATTTGCTTCTGGAGGGAAGTGAGTTTTTTTATTTTTCATTTTATGCCTGGTTTGGCTGCATGTGTATTAGTTTTATTTTAGGTAAATACAAAATATGACTTGCTCTTAGTTTTTTCACATTGGCAGTACAAAGGCAGAAATCAATGTATAATTAAGCGTGGTATTAAAACGATCAGGTACAAAAGCAGCCTCACTGAAAAAGACACTATTTACAAAAAAAGAAAAGAAAAATCTCATGTCTCTTTTCAGATTGTCTACTTCCCCCTGCAGGGCCCTCTGCTGTCTTTCCGGTGACTCGTCCCATCTCACCACAGAGATAAACTGCTGGCTCTGGTAGTCAGTCACCCTGTTTCTTTTCTCCTGGTGTCTGTGACTCTGCATAAACTAGATGCTTACAAATACCTGAGCCTGTTTGATATTGAAGCTAAGCCAGGTCAGGCTGGCTGGTACTGTGACATTATGCAATAGTCATATTCCTACAACGGACCCAACATCATTGGACCTGGCAACAGACCATTATTCCTCTCAACTCTTGTGGTCTTGGGGGCGGCGGGGGTTGATGAGATCTAGATTTATTCAATTTCAGCCTAGCATGTATGTGCTGCCTGGGTCATTGCTTTGCTGTTTTAACAGACTCTGCCCCAGAAGGAAACATTCGAGGTTGCACAGCTTGTAGTACAGTATTCCTGTTTTCCTTCAGAGGCTGAGATAGTAACGTGCGTATGGAAGGAAAACCAAGGCAGAGAAAGGTGGTGGGTAGCGGAGGTCCACTCCCCAGGGATTAGAATGATGTCTGCTGGGTCAGTTCACTCTGCGCTCAGGGGAGAGTGGCCAGGAGCTTAGAGTGCCTGGGTGGAGAGTGGGCGGTTCTGATCTGATGTGATTTTCAGATTTAAATTAGAAGAATGTAGCTTCTTGACTGTCAGAGCTCTTGTCTGCTGTGTCCCGTGGACCTCCTAGGAATTTGTGTGGGCCCAGCAGGAGACAGGTCCAGCGAGCCCAGTAGCTGTTGTATGCTGGAGATACTAGTTTTCAGCCACCCACTTTATAAACATGGTTTGCCTAGTGTGTTAGAGTTTTCCTGATTTCTAGGAAACCATGCTTTTCCTAAATTCTATGAAAAGAATTTATTTCTTCTTAAATTTCTATTTCTTCTCTAAATCTCTAAGCCCTTTCCATTTTATAAACATTACTGAGTAGTATTGCCATCCACTTGTATAACGTTTCATGATTTGTCAAGTATTTTCATGTCTTTGCTTTTATTTGGGCCTCGCCACAGCCCTGTGGGATGACAGGTAGGCATTATCTTGTGTCAGATGAAGTGTGTGAGGCTTAGAGCCAATGACTCGGGCAAGGTCACAAGGAAATAAAGAGCAGAGACGTGAACCTAGCATTCCCACTCTAGGTTCATATGCTTTTTTTAGTTCTGTCTCTGAACCCTGAGAGAATGATGGGAGACTTTCTCCCAGAAGTAAACCTCAGAGAGGCTGGGGCCTGTCAGTGACAAATGAGAACTGACCTTGGACAAGAAGACATTCATTTCCATTCACCTGTTGGTTCCCACCGCCTCATGATACTTGTGGGTTCCTTAAACTTGTAAGAAACCCCCAGGTGGACAGCCCAGGTAGGATCCTGGTTGAGTAGACTGGTTCATCCACATATTGGAGTTGGAGGCCACTCAGCAAAGACCATGGACACTGTAGGAGCTGATCTGAAACATCTCCAGGAAGAGTAAATGAAAAAGGCAAGATGCAGAATACTGTATGTGGTATGCTTCCTTGTGAAAAAAGCCAGGAAGGGGTGATGAAATGCAGATTTGAGTGCACTTTTATTTGTATAAAGGAACACTGTAAGTTATATTAGAAAATCATAAAAGTGGCTGGGCGTAGAGAACAGGGTGGACAGAGACATGCATGGTTTTTCTCAGTTTATATCTTTTTATGTCATTTTGATTTTTAAAAACTATAAATTTTGAAATATAGATTCATAAGACATTTCAAAAGTAGTAGAGATCCTGTGTACCCTTAAGCCATTTTTCTCCAGTGGTAACATCTTGCATAACTGTAGTATAGTATCACAGCCAAGAAATCGACAAGCTACAAAGCTTAGATTTCACTAGTTTTACATGCAGTCCTGTCTGTGTGTAGTTCCATGCAGTTTTATCACATGTAGATTCGTGTGACCACTACCACAATCAAATATAGTACTGTCCCATCATCAGGTACCCCTTGTGCTCCCCCTTTATAGTCATACCTACCCCATTCACCTGCCCCACTCCCACTTGTCCCCAGCCACCACAGATCTTCCATCTCTACCATTTTTTTCCTTTTGAGACTGTTACCTAAATGGAATCATATAGTATGTAACCTTTAGAGATTGGCCTTTTTTCCCCACTCATCATAATCCCCCTGAAATCCATCCAAGTTGTTGCCTGTATCAACGATTCGTTCCTTTTTATCGCCGAGGATTCCCTGATATGGGTGTACCAAATTGTTTAACCGTTCACCCTCGGAAGGGCATTTGGGTTGTTTCTCATACTTGGCTCTTACAAATAAAGCTGCTGTGAACATCTGTGTACATGTTTTTGTGTAGACCTAAGTTTTCATTTCTTTAGGATAAGTGCTCAGGAGTACAGTTGCAGGAGCACATGGTAAGCCTACATTTAGTCTTTAAAGAAACTGCCAGAAATGTTTCCAGAGTGACATTTTGATTTTTCAAACGTGAATTTTGGAAAACAAACCAAGGATATTTGTGTTGAATCTGACCACGTCCTTGGAATCAGATCGCCAGTATTTCTCCAGTCTGACCTAGAGTCTTCCCAGGTGAGTGCTATCAGTGTTAAATCCCGAATCTCTCTCCTAGGTGTGGTACAGATAGTGGAGGTGATATTGAATGGAATGGTTCTCATGTGTATCGTGGCTTCATACTTTGTCCTTGCTGGATTCAGTGCCAGCTTTACCAGCGGCGGCGGCTTTGGGAACAACTATTACTCACCATTTGAGGGCACCGTTTTTGTTCAGCAGCTGGACCAGCAGTACACTGTCCTCCGGGCGCCCCTGATATATGGCGGTGTGGCTGTTTCTCTGGGGCTGGGTGTCCTCACCATGAGTGTTTTACTCCAAGGAGCCAAGAGTCTGACCAAACTGCCAAGGAAGTGGCTTCTCCTGGAGGCCGCCTTCAGCCTTCTGGCCGCAGTGGGCTACTGCATAGGCACTGGCTTTTATCTCTACGTAGCCTTGCGGATCAATGCCACAGACATTTGCAAAAAAAGAGAGAGGCTCTATGCCAGCAAAGGTCTCACCTGGATGAACTGCCAGCTGACCGGCACTGATGGAGCAGCAGCCACCTTTGCTTGTCTTCTGGTGATAATGTATGGTGCCAGTGTGGTGCTGGCCCTACGGAGCTGCCGAGAACAGCAGCACTACAAAGACAGCCAAGAACAGCACAGAAACCACAGTGAGGCTCCAGAATACCTGTGGTCGGAAACACTCTGAGAAATTTCTGTAAATGTTAACCCACCTCCCTTATTTCTCTCAAAAAAAAAAAAAAAAAAAATGGGTCCTTTAAAATTGTACATTTGACAACTGGGGTTTTTAAATACTTGATTTTATAAATGCTCGTTTTGGTACCAGTGCAAAGCTGGGTGGTCATCTCATTTTTCTACTGATCGGTCCTTGCTGACTGAGAGCTTGGAACAGATATCTCTACCTTTGCTACAAAGACCATCAGAAGTTTGGGCATGCCCTTATGGTATGGCTCTCTTACCAAATGGTAAGGTAATGATTCTAGCCAAGTAGCCACAGAAATTCCGAAATAACTACATATCAGGGGTAGCATGGCCAGTGTTGTAGAAATCTTTTAAAGTCACCAAAAGGAACATGCCATTGCCCCTCCTGTCTGGTCTTTGGGGACCTATGTTGAAGCAGTCATGTGATTGAATTCTTAACGTAGGTTATGTCCTGCGCCTCCAGGAGGGAAACGCCCCTCCCTCCGGGCGTGTGCTGTCAGGAGCTGTCTTCTGCCAGAGCCGGGAGGCTGGGTTTCTCACACGTGAAGAGACGCTTTTAACACGGGTTCCTCCTCAGGCTCCCTGCATTAGCACTGAGAGAAAATGTTTTGGTTTTTTGTTTGCTAGCATTCCCAGTTACTTTTTTGTTGCGAGTCATTTAGTTGGAATTCACTTTTCCTGAAATATTTTGATTCCTAAATATGAGGCTTCTAAATAATAAGAAATAAAATTTATAAACTTCTTAAACATGTTATTCAACTATTTCAAAGATAAAGTAGTTAGCTTTACTAGACTCTAAAGGCTTATAGGCGGCTTCATTACTGCGTCCCGTGAGTGCCCTGGAGAGTCGGCCTTCTGAGGCAGATTGTAATCTCTCATGGGCCTGAACTGTCCATAATGTAACAGTTCATTAACACTAAATCTGAAAAATAAAGTTATTTCAGTCATTTTAATCTAAGGTTCATAGCTGTTCGTATACTTTATTAGTCTCAGATTTTCAGTTCATGTCAGATGCAACTAGAAAGATACATTATTATTATAAAGTATAATTGTTTTTCCTAATTGTCCTCTAGCTTTTCAATAGCTAATTATTTTTTATATTTTATGTTCCTATTATGAGATTAAACTATTAATAAATCCAAACCAAACTTTTAGTGATTTCTATGAACAGCGATTTTGACATCTCAGATTCTCTAATCTATAAAGAAATCAAACATGAGTCTGTTTCAACATGTCACAATGACAGTTAAAAAAAAATTAAGTCAACATCATTTTCCTGTATCGTATTGGCCATTTTTAGCCCTGAACTTCGGCTGACTCTTCTCCCTCTCCCCACCCCACCCCTCAACTCCTTTCCTTGTACTGTATAACCTTTCCTTGCTCCGCTTAAATCTTTTCAATAGCTAATTCATATAGAACCTATCCGAGGCAAAGGATCAAAATAGAAATGGGAAATTATCTAGATTACGCTTTTACAAAAAGTAAACCTTGGAGGAAAAGGATCAGCTAGAAATCTACATTGCTAGGTTAAAATACAAACACTTGATATGCCACAGAAAGGAGCGTCCACTCTATCACCCTTGGGCCCCCCAGCCTTTACTGAGTGGTGTACAAGAAGTTTAACAGCAGCAAGAATCAAACCACTCCCCACCCCCCCACCCCCAACTCTTCTCACCTAGCATTTATTCCCCAATTCCCTGCAACGTGTTCCTTGTAGATCTTTGCCTGTATCTGGGTCGTGCTTGATAAAATGAGGACTTTGGCCTCTCTGACCCCAGACCCAGCTACAATCTCGAGCGATTGGAGCCCATCGATCACTATAATCACGACACCCCGTGTCTGCAGTTCCCAACCTCGTCTTATTTCCTGTCACTTGTTGGGGAGGCCGGTCAAGATTTATTATTCATATTTTACAGATGAGACAAAGGTTCAAGAAGATTAAGTGGCTTAACCTAACACCTGACATTTTGTTGACTGCTCACTACGTGCCAGGTCCACTGCTGAACTAAGGAGACATTTGTCTTATCTAAGCTCAAACTTGAGATACTATTATTTCCATTTAACAGTCAAGAAGAAAAACAGCCTTGGAGAGGTTAATGTGCCTAAAGTCAAATCTGAGTAGCAGAGGCAAAACTGAGGACCAATGACTAACACACTGAAAAGTGTTGTGAGTGACTGATGTACCCTTGTGGCCTCTGGTATACCAGGGATTTAAGATCACACAAAGCAGAGAACATGCTCGGAGAATTTCACTTCTGCCCCCATGAAACAGGGAAATATGTCTCATGGAACTGAGCTATTAAAGTAGATGGTATCGTTGAGACCAGTGCACTGAAGGTGCTCAATGAACAGCTGGTAAACCAAGCTTTCAAAATGTTCATTCTGCTTGATGAGAGGGAAAACTGAAAAATGATTTCAACTTGGATTTTATGTGGAGTGAGAAGTAGCTAACCTTGCCTGGAAGTCCAGAGATTTGGGAGATAATGATGTGGGGAGAGGAGGGTAACAATGTAGATGCTTACCTATGTTGTAAGTATTTTGTAGGCCAACCATTATATCTGAAGTTCTGATGCCAAAGCCATTACATTATGACCAACATGGTGGCCAGATTATCCACTTAGCTCCTCTGTCTTCATCAGCTCTATGATTTAAGAGGAGTTGTAGATTTACAATTGAGTTTCCTCTAGTCAGCCAATAACCTGCATGAAAATAAGGACCATATTTCCTATCTTTGAGATTTAAAACAAAAAAAATACCCATATAAACCAAGAGAGAATGTAATGTTTCTTAATGTAAAAAATCTTTATTGCTATTTCAGCTTAAAAGGTGATCAAAAATATTTATTCGGCCCTTAACTCATAGCTTCATAGTGTCATGGAATGTGGTTTCATTTGTTTGTTATCTTCCCTTAAAGCAGGAAAAAGCAGAAAAAGTCTAACGGTGCTTTTGGTAAAGAAACTAAGTCTACATACAAGTTAGAGAAAATTACAGTTTCATGCTAAAGTATTTATAAAATAACAAGTATTCCATTTAAAACAAAGCCATGAAAAAGATATTCCATTTTATTTTATTTATTATTGTTGTTATTATTTTTTACAAACAATAGATTTGCTGCAACATGCTCTGGCTCATATTATTGAATTAAAAAATTTAACACATTTCAAAAAATATCAAAAATACACTATAATGAGTCTTAGGACTACAATACGACAATGATTGCACAAAACTGTAAGATATGAACTCACTGTTTGGATGACATCCATTGGCAACAGTGAGAGAAAACCCTATAGCATCTGGGAGAAGTGCATGGAATTTAGAATACAAGGAGCTTATGTGTGATTGAATGATCACCAAATGAGGGATACAGAGCAGAATTTACTTGTAGCTGTTTTTCTCAATCTAGGAAGTGCTTACCCAACTACAGGGCAAAAGTCACTAACTGGAGAGAAAGATGAACTTGCCTCCATGACTGGGGGATCTGAAAGGCTCCACCCAGAGGGAAGTAAAAAGTGACACAAGACAGTTCTATAGTGATGCTGCAAACATCACTGAATGGCTTGGAGACTAATTATTTAACAATTGGTACATTTATCAATAACAGCCAAGTGCTCCCTTATGGAGGTCTCTTCATTAATTAATTGTTGAGTAGATAGAGAAGGCGAGCCTGTGGCTTCCAAGTACCTGCTTTCGCTGAAGGTTTACATGGAAAGAAGAGCATCATTTGATATTCAGTAGATCAGCCAAACCTAACTAACTGGCTCCATCTCCTGAAAAACAGCGCTCGCTACAGACAATTATAATAGCACCCAATGGTTACCAAGCTGCTCGTGTTGGCTCTTCTATACACCAGGAAAATGAATTCATCAACTTATTGCACACATACACTCTACAGTAGTACAATAAAGCCTTCGCTTGTATTAGGAGTGGTAATTCAATGACTATGGTAGCACTGTTGCTTTATGATATACCAGCGTTCAAATTTTCAAATATATTCCCAATCCATTTGGATGAAAATAAGAATACCATGGCTGCCAAGACTCATGCATTTTTCTTTCTTCCGTGGGACTGCTGAACTGCTCCCATAGGCAGGAATGATGTCCTATTAAATGGGAGGTACACACAGAGACCTGAGAATCATGCAGAGGCCAGAATCTCTGGACTAGAGATCATGGTACTCTGCCCACCTGGGGAACATATCCTCTGGGTAATGTCCTAGGAAGTAGGTTACATTCACCTGGTGACAGATTACTGGCTTTCACCACCTGACAGTCTAATCAGATCACACAATGACTGTACATGACCTTATCGGTCAAAAGATTCTGTATATTTTTGGTAATGGGCTATGGCCTTTTTACCACTCTGTTTGAATACAGAGCAATTATAGAGGAAAATGAATTAAAAGAAGTTACTAAAAATAGTTTGGTATAGCCTATATTAAAGGTTTTCAATACAACCTATTTCCTGAAAATAAATATACCACATAGAAGAACATTTGGAATTTTAGAGTTGTTCTGACTAAAAAGTAAATACATTTAACTTTTGTTAGTCATTTCAGAATTGGGTTTTGTAGTGGTTCCAATAAGTAGGGTGGGTAATAAAGAGAATACAGGAAGAGAGTTCACAGATAAAAAATTTTAAGAAACTATACTATTAAAGTGGTGTATTCCCCAAACAACTTTCTTTTCTAGACAATATCACTATTACATAACTCAAAGGTTCTGCTGTCTGGGTAAGAAGATCTTTACAACACTCATCACTATTATCTTGGGCGTTTCCTTCATTTTTTCCATTTTCCCATATAAAAATAAGGCAGCAACACACTATTGTTCCCATCTTTCTAAGCACCTAAAACTTTGTATGAACCACTACGTTCCCCACTTCAAATCAAGACCTGAGTTCTAATATTCTGCAGTAGCTGACCAGTAGTTTGACACAAGGAAGTCAAGTGTACCTGACATTGTGGGGTCTCAAATTCAGATTCTTGAGGGGTTAAACATTAAACAGCCATTGGAGTGGTGTGGAATCCCCCAAGAATATACCCCACTGAAACATGCACATGGGCATGGGACCTCTGAAAAGATGAAGATACATAACCATCTGTAGACAGGTCATCTGGTTTTCTACTATTGCTTTAAAAAAAACTTCACCCCCCCTACATATATATATATATGTATGTATCAACCCTATCTTTAACATTGTTTCTCATGAAACAAATTAAAAATGGTTCCACTCTACTTTCTTTTTAATTGTAAAAGTATTCTAGAAATTCAAAGCACATTCCCCATTGGATAAAATCAAGCAATGTCAAAATTTTGTAGGAATAAATAAGAATTCATTTTCCTAAGTAAATCTAATGGTAAAGGCAACAGAACAGAAATATGGAAGAAACTGCATTTTGCTAGGGTTTCGTGGAATGTGCAAAAATACAGTAAACCAGATTTTCTGTAAGCTTAGGGCTTTCTCACTTAAGTCTTTCTTATATTAGTATTTGAGCCTAGTACTCTGAAACCACGTGAGGTGGGTAGCAGTTTCAGAAGAGTACTCTGTTAAGCATTAAGGAGGTGAACTCCCAGCTCACTTGCGACATTTTAGAAAACCATCCCTCTGCTCTAGAGTTAAGAGACAGAATCTGTCAAACCCATGAGCTCCATTTATCCTTCTGTTCGCATTCAGCCTGTCTGTTCAAGGTCATCTGCTATAGCTCAAGGTTACTTAGATGTGAGTGGCATCCACCTTGGCCCTATATATTAGGAGGCTCACTGGCCAACTCCATCACATTACGGAAAGAGGCCAATCCCCAAATGCCTCTCTTGTGATGCGCTGGGAAATTCCTAGCAGGTGTCACATTTGTCAAGGAGTTATTCTTTCTGTGATTTGGAGGAAAGCAGTTTTAAGCCTCATTCCTTTTCCATCTTCATCCCCAAAGAAGATCCTACTCCCCCAAGTTTCTCATGAGCTTTCACAGTCTGACAGCCACCAGTTAAATCAATTTCCCAGGGTCCTTCCCAGTACCCTTACAGAAGGCTCCAACACCTGATGATCATTCTGCCTATGGACAAAGGTGCTGGGCTGCCTCTAGGAAGATTGGCTCGAGTGCAGATTCAAAAATAAAAAGTTCACAGTCAATGAAAAGTGCTCTCATTACATTACATACATAAATTATCTGTTTGATTGGTTCTATATTTTCCAATAAACGTCATTTCGATAGGCTGTATTCTCGTAGAGAAGAATGAAAAGCCATGTGACTAGTCACATCACATCCCATCAGTTAGGTTGAGATATAAGGTGATTTCTCTGTCACAGAGATCCATCAGCAGCAATCAGTAAAGGGAATCATCTTCAGTTATTTCCTCCACAGAAATAGTCCCTTTCCTGCCCAGGCAGGCAAATTCTCAAAGTTATCCTAGGAGAGAAAGGGTTAATGGCAGGTGGTAGGACTGATACAGAGCAACATTTGCTTTCTTCCCAGTGACTCTGGGAATTCCAACACAGGTTAAATGTGAAACTTAACACTGATGGTGTTGACTAGCTTATCCGAGCGAGACCCTGATAGCTCTCACCATTTTTGGCTCCGAGTTCTAACCCCTCATTTATGGTTTAGAAATGCAGAGGCAAAATGTGTCTGGAAAGGTCCCCCGCCCCAACACTACATAGCCTTCCCTAACTCTGGGGGTGCTGGGGAAGGATTACAGTGCTGTGTCAAACTCCTCCGGGAGCTCGGTCCGATCCTCTTCGCTGGGCTCAGGCTCAGGCCTGCTTTCCTGGTGTTGCTTCATTTGCTCCTTCACTTCCTCTTCTAGGTCACGGGGTACAACAAACTGATCCTCAGGCTCCAGCTGAGTTGGGGCGGCAAAATAGCCAGTTTTCTTCTTGGGTGCTTCTGTGGCCACCTCAATGAGGTTCAGGCTATCTTCTAGGGGTACAATAGAGCCATTAGAGAGTTTCTTTCCATAGAGACAGGAAGTGGAGGGAGACTTCTGTAACTCCATCTTGTCCTTGCTCACTGGCAGAAGTATGCCACTATTCACACTGTTCTGTCTTCGGATCCCAAAAAACAATCCTCTCGCATGTTCCGCAGGACATGGGGCAGGAGAATTCTCGGTGAGAGTGGGCGAGTTCTCAAGATCCCTTCCCCTACAGCAGTGGATGTCTACCTCCACTTCCACCTTGCTGCCGTTTGTTATCACCCCTTCAACGGGCTGGTCATCATCACTGTCCAGGCCATTGTCGGACTGGTTACTTGAAAAAGTCGCACAAGAAGGCTGGCGCTGAAAAACTCCAGAGGTGGGCGCTGGATGGAGGCTGCAGCGCCTCTCTGGCCTTGGAAGCAGGCCGGCATCCAGGCCGACGGTGTTATGTTCATCAGAAGCAGTGGACCCCACCTCGCTGCTCACCTCTGAAGTGGACATCTCGCTGCTGAATTCAGAGGCAATACCACTACTGGAGGAAGGAGTGGTTGGCTTGGGCGGGTCCTTGATGGCAGCAGTTGAAGCAAATCCCACAGGACCTGGGAGGCTGAGCCCATTCATCTCACAAGTGCAGCCTTCTTCACCAATGTTCAGGTAAACCACCATTGCCCCCACATTGTCCTGACAACCATAGCTCTGGGCTAATGTGCACAGCTTCTTGGCAGCTGCTAATGGGTCTTGTACATGGCGTACTGCGTTGACAGCCTCTGTATATGACAAGTGTTCCCACAATGCTTTGTTTCCCAGAATCAGCAACTCGTCTTGAATGCTAAGTGTAGTGGAAGATATGTGGGGCTTTGGGAGGATCCAGGGGTGGAGGTATGCACAGCCCAGCATCCGAGTACAGCAGGTTACCCCGTTCACTTTGTTATCCTAGATGCAGCAGAATGCAAATTTTGAGAAACAAGCAACAATGACATACAATATATATCTTTCTAGATCACAATGCTTAGGGCTCTGTAATATAACAGAATTGATATGTTATATGGTTTTTCCTAGAATCTGTATAATTTTAAGTGGATTTACAAAAATAAATGTACAGAATTTTAAAAGGACAAAATATCATATGGTTATTATGCCAAATAGTTCAGACGACTGAAGTTAAAACCAACTAAAATTAAGGATTAAAAGGCACCCCCATCCCAAAAGATATATGCTCCAACAAAAAGTACAGGCCTCAGCATATCCTCAGAGAAACGGCTGTTAGAGAAATAATAAGCAGAACTGCCATTAATTCTCCACCACTAATATTTTCAGAGAGGCCAAACTCAGACGAGTCACTAAAAATGATTTCTCATTTATAGGCACAGTTGGGACTGGAAGATTCAGGAAGCTATTAAATGGCCAATACTTTTCTTTATAGTTAAAGATCTCTAAAGTTATTTAGCCTAGAAAAGGAAAGTCTCTGAAATCTGGAGCATAACTGACCTACTCTGTAAAGATTGTACCGAGAATGAATAACAAGCAGATCAAATCACAACTGATGCAATTTTAAACTTAGAGTTAAAGAACCCTGGTGGTAGGCTGGAAATGTTCATCTGCCTCGTATTTTACACTGACTTCAAGATAAAACCGAACAAAACCTCTGAAGCCATCAATATATTTATTTCATAGTTGCAGTCAAAATCCTGGTTCTCTGATTTACCAGAATTTGTCACAAACTCTAAATTTTATTTTCCTCATCTGTAAAATGGAAATAAAAGTACTTCTCTCAAGGGGGTTATTGTGAAGTTTAAATAATGAAATTACAGTGCTTAGCAAATAAAAAGCAAATAATAAATGTCTGTGGTTAAAATAACATTTGTAAAAATATATCCTAATTGTCTAGAACCCAAGAAAAATCAAAACGACATTATCTAAATTCTGTAAAAACAGACTAAACAAACAAAAAGTTATCTTTCATTCTTTTGTTTGTTTTGACTGAAAGACCTTCCTAAGACTAATGCCTCATAGTTCCAAAATCTTCATAGTATCGATCACATTATACTGATACTTTTTTTGGTATTTGGCTTCCTTGGATAAAATCTAATATGGACAGTCCTCATACAGAATTCTGACCTAACAGACAGCCCAGAAATGAACCTACACAAATACAGTCCACTGATCTTTGATAAACAGTAAAGGATATTCAATGGAGAAAGAACAGTCTATTCAATAAATACTGCTACAACAGGACGTTTACGTTCCAAAAAGAAAAGAAAAGAAAAAAGAAAAAGCATCTAGACATGGAGCTTATACCTTTCCCAAAAATTAATTCAAAGCAGATCAGACTTACTTAATGTAAAACATGAAACTTCTAGAAGATAACAGAAAATCTAGGTGACTTGGGTTTGGCAATGAGTTTTCAGATACACCAAAAGCATGACCCATGAAACGAAAATCTTAAGTGAGACTTCATTAAAACTAAAAACTTCTGTTCTGCAAATGACACTATTAAAAGAATGAAAAGGCCAGCCATAGACTGGGAGAAAGTATTTGCAAAACACACATCTGATAGGGACTTGTTTCCAAAATTCGAAAAGAACTCTTAAAACTCTACTACAGAGAAACAATTCAATTAAAAATGGGCAAAAGATCTGAAGAGAATTCTGCTTTGCAGTAAACAATGTCCACATGTAATTGCTAAAGTCTCTTAAAAGCAAAAATGTCATGCTAATTTCTAAAATAAGAGAAAACCTAAAAAACAGTAGATACCGATGCTTCATTATTTAAAAACCACTAGACTATATTAAACTACATACAATATAAATAGGAAAAATATTTTGAAAGTCTGAATTTCAGAAGAGTGATGTCAAACTATAGAACTTTTTCTTCTTCTGTTTGGAAATTAACCAAAGGGGACATTTACATTCATTTTCCATGCTGGCTATACATCTAAAGGGATCACAATTTAGAATTTTTCCTTTCTAATTAATTTGCTTTTTCTTTTTGCTTGTCATTAACTGCTCATTAGATTTTCTTCTAGTACTATTATCTGTCTTGGACACAACTTACAAGGTCTGATAGGAGAAAAATGGACCTCCACTACCTCTATGTAGAAGAGCATTCACTACATTTGGGGAGTGGAAGTGACTGTTGGAAAGTGAGATTCACCTCTGTTATGATGGCTTTTTGGTCCTTCACCCTTTGAGCCTCCTCCGCATCCTGTTCCAGGCTGAAGACTTTAGAGAGGGTCACTGGTTTCCCACCTCGGCACAGGACTGCTTGGCAAGTGCCAACATTGGCCACAGTCAAGCTAAAACTATTTGTTGGATCAGCAGTGTCAGGGCGGATGTAACAAAGGAGAGCAGAAGAGCCTAGCTTCTGACCAGCCATTCCTAATTTTCTGTTTAGAAAGAAAAGAAAATGAAGTCAAAGAAAATAAAGACATGGTAGCTAATTTTAGAAGAAAGTGCTGGTCCTTCATATCTGTAATTTCCTTGTTCTCCTGCCACGTGACTGTGAGCCAGCCTCATCCTCAAGGTGATGGTAAAGAGAGTTCTGCCTTCCGCCCTAAACTGAGAAAAGGAATTTTACATAAAGGGTGGGAGATAGTGAAAGAACCTCTTCCTCTGCGCCTTCTGCTTGTGTCTGATCACAGACTACAATGGTTTCAACTTTAGAGCATCAGAATCATCTATGGGGCCTGTTCAAAGACTGCTGGGCCCTAACCCCAGAGTTCCTGATTCAGTGGGTAAGGGGCTGGCCCAATAATCTGCATTTCCAATGAGTTTACAGTGATGCTGAGGTTGTTGGTCCTAGAGCAATACATTGAGAACCATTTGCTTAGGTTAAGTTCCTTGAAGGAAGAAGGGCCATAATTTCCCTTGTATTTCTCCCATACACATGGCATCCACCCCAAGCACTTGGTACACAATGGTAAGCACAGAGCAGATGCTATCAAAAAGATCTGGTTTCTAATTCCAGCTCTGCCATTTACTGGCCATAGATCCTCAGCAAGTTATTTCTCTAATAAATTTTTCTGCTAAATACCCACCTCTTTGGCTTATTTTGAAAATTAAAGATATAGTATGAGAAATGCTTGGCACAGTGCTCAGCTCTTGAGAGGTACTTCGGAAACTGAGTCTTCTTTCCCCAACCCTTTATTTTGCCAAGTTCCCGGCTCAATTCTATTACTGAAAAATAGACCCCTTTCACAACTTCTTTGTTTTGTGTTATAATGAGAGATAAAACTATATTGGGCACCAGGCTGTCCCATTTTAGCCTTTATTATATTTACAACCTCTCGGTTGTACATATCCTTTATGTAGCCCACATAATGTGCAATATGCTCCATTAGCTACTAAAATTTTCAATAATTTGTTATATAGGGTTTTTGCCCTTACGTGGCTTAGAAGATTGGTTGGTAAATCCCAATAAGTATTCTAAACACATAGACCTGATCAGTGCTTAATCTTTTGTAGGTCACTAACTCTTTCGAGAAGCTTATAAAAGCTTACCATCGTCCTTCCCCCAAATGTACAAATGCATTACATACACACATAACCTTTTATACATGATTTCTAGGCTTTCCAGATCCTCAGCAGCCTTTGGGATCGATAGAGAAAACACAGACAGACCCACAAGCTCTTTAAAGAACCAAAGTCCCCACATTCCACACCGACACAGAGATTGGTCATGGCAGAAGGAGCAAGATCTCATCTTGATCCTGTACCTATAATTTAGACTCTGACTTTCTGGCTTAGTGAGATTTATTTTCCAAGAGAGGAATTATTCAACCCACCTGCTTACCTGTGAGATACCAAAAAGGTGTTAGCCATGAAAACTATGTCATTTGTTGACTGCTGTACCTCTTCCAAAAGCACATCTGCCATGGTACACTGGAGCAGGCGCGGGAGCTCCTCATTTCGGTCCCCATCAAACATGCCATACACAGCGCCCACCCCCTCTGCAAAGTTATCCACAGCTAGGGCAGATACACACAGCCTATCACAAAAATATGAAAACACAAATATCAAAGACAGTTATTGGTAAAAGGATTATTCTCTGGGGAACCTTCTTTAAAAAAGTATTGACTGAGGGTAGAGAATAGTAGTAAATCCTAATCTACACACGAAAAAAGCGTTATATAAAATAATTAAGCGGCATTTGAAAGAGCTGATGTCATAAGAAATGGGGAGATTCAGCCACATTCATGGGCAACACATATTAGCTTTGCAATGCTGCCAAAGGCTGGAAAGACTGAATGTTTCCTCTTAGTAGAGATAAGGACTCGTAATGTCAAAGTTCTTCGGCCAAACACCCCCAGGAGCACACCTGCGGTTGAACAAGTTTGGTTTGTTATGCGCTGCAGGGAGAATGCACACCATGGAACTCTGGGGTACAGAGGTAAGAAGGTATTGCAAAAACCTTGTATCGGGCCTGGGCTTTGGTTGGGTTGTTCTTGGGAAGGTCTAAAGAAAGGGGAAAATCATACTAGGTTGGGTGCTGTCAGAAAGCGAGGGCAATTTTTATTGGGCATCTCAATAAATCTTATCTACAGGAAAAGATTAGCACAAGAACACCGCTGTAATTGGTACGGCAAGTAGCAGTCACCCATTCTAGCCATGAGAAAGTACACTTGGTATTTTGTGGCCTGAGCATTCATCTTATTTTCGTCTCACTAGATCATGGTCTCAGAGGAATCTTATCTGATGTTGGCATTCTGTGATTTGTTTATGTTCAATAGAGGAGCAACACAGCCTGGCTTTCAGCATCAGATCGTTCCCAGGTGCCAGGAGCTCCCTTTTTCTTTCTCAGTCTCCATGGGCAAAATACTCACTTATTTCTCTGCCCTGCCATCTCAGCCAGCCCATGGCTCCAGAAGGTTGATGTAACTGTAGAATCGGTGGATGGCAAAGGTTTCTGATCGATTTTCAGGGTTGTGATATGGCTGTGGGAAGCGGAGGATGGAAAGATTAAACTGTACATACTTTTGTATTTTACAGAACGATCCCAACAATAATATATATTTTTATAAAATAATCTGACAGACCAAGATTCATTACCAGAGAGACTGTGATTAAAAGTAGTGGCTGAACCACTGGCTAAGAAGGAGGAGAGAGGAAAAAAAAGGGGTAGGAGGAATAGGAGCCAAATACTGTTACAATTGATGCCATTCATTGTAATGAAAACTAAGCACAACAAAGATTTCTAAGTTTCAGTAAATGGTCTGCTTATTTTAAGTACTTTGATACAATGAAGTCTTGGTACAATGGGCGAGCTTGCACTCTTACATGTTGCAGTGTAATGTGATTTGTGTCACCTGGAGTATCTATGCCTGCCTTGTAAAGATACTCAGTGTGTGGCTGAGCAGTAGTGTAACATAAAGGGGCTGACTACTGGAGAGAACATCCATCCACATCTGAATCAAAAAAGAGAACCAAGGGCTCAATGGCTTCATTCATTCTATTCCTTTAAATAATCGAGAGCTCCATAGTCCTTAAGAAGACTTACACATGGCTGGTGGGATTCAGAGCACATGTGGATTCAATTTCAAAATTTTTCTTACCTAAATGTGTCTAGCGTCTTGTGCTCCAGAACCAGATTTGTATTTCCAGTCAGGTCAAGGTCTTGTAAGGTAGCAGGCAGAGCCTCTGGAATCAGGATTTCTGTCAAGTCATTGCAGCTTAGGTCTACAAACTGAGAGGAAAAGAAATTAAAATACATCATAAGTAGTTAATTCTTAACTCCCTAACGCTAATCCCCTATTATATCCTCTAAAGGAACTTAATTTCTTCCTAGGAATCAACTAAATATACTGTGATCCCAAACTGCCACTTCCTTCTTCCCTATGAAAAGAGATCGACCTCGTTCACACTCCTGCTCCTGCCACTTCCCCACAAGGACATCATTCCAGCACATAAAAGTACCTGGATCTGAGGCAACTGCAGTATTTCCGGGAAAATGCTGATGTTGTTAGAGTGTGCGACAAGGGTGTGCAGCCTTTTGCAGTTCGCCACAGTCGTGGGAATGGTTTTAAGCTTGTTGCCACTTAGGTTCAGTTCCTCCAATTGCTCCAATTTATTTAGTTTACTGAAAAAGAAATGCCAAAATATCACATTGCACCCAAATGAGCGGCTGCCAAGCAAGTTTTATAGCAGCCACAGCATACAGAGGCACTTGGTTCACTGCCAGGTGACTGGTCATAATGAAAGTATCAGACACCAACAGTAAAAGGAAGGGCTCACCAAGGTGACTGCTTCTGCTGAATCTTGGCCTAATATGCCCCAGTGTGTTTCGGGGGCTGAAGCTTTCTTTGTTTCTCTTACAGTTGCTGGATCTTATGGGAATAGATTCTTGTTATCTGACTTACAAGAAACAACTGAATAAGCATCAGCCTAGGGTTGGTAGACTAGTTATGGTACTTGCTTTGCCACTAACTAGTTCCAAAGACTGAGTAAGTTAATGCCAGTTTATATCAATATCCTCAGCTAGAAAGAAATTGTACTAAATCATCACTGAGATTACTTTTAGTTTTAAATTTCAACCGTTACCTATTTATAACATACTCCATCTTCACCAAACATTTATTGAGTGCTTATTATAGACACAGCACTGGGTTAGTGGCTGTAATACAAGTGATTCACAACATTCTGCTGGAATGAGCAAAGCTTTCTCCACAGTAAGCAAAATATCTTCAGCCCGCCTAACACCTTTATCTAGATTATTATAAATTGCTCTCTGATTTCTTTTTACTTACTGATTTAAAAAATTATAAAAATAAACTGCTATAACATGAAGAGAACATTTAAAAATGAAGAAAATAAATCAAAAATACCACCAATCTGAACAAATTATTATTCTTTTTGCTGAATATCCTACCAAATTTTTCATATGCATATTTGTTTTACATAAAACTTATATCCTGCCCTTTTCATGTAACATATTGTAAATAATTTCTATTGCTAGAAAATCCATAAATACTTTAATAACTAAACTAAGTAAATTAAAACTGTTTTCTTTCTTATTATAAAAGTAATACACATTCCCTGAAAAGAACTGAAAAATAAAGAACAGGAAAAAAATCTTTTAATCCCACTCCCAAAGATCTTTGATGACATTTTGATGGAGAATATTCTTGTCCTTTTTAATGCATGAAATTGTATTTTTCAAATTAAGAAATGATGCTTTATGTTTTATAACCTGCTCTGGTTTTTAACTTAATAATATATTTTAAAGTGCTGCCATGCTCAAATCTCATGCCACTCTTTCATGCTACTCTTTTATGCTATTCTTTCATACTACTCCCTGCTTGCATCTTTTGGACTTGTAAATAGAAAGGCAGTGTCCCAATCACATCTGGTCTCTCACTGAGCACCCAGAACTATGCTAAATGCTGAAAATAGTTCAAAAGAAACAGATTTGGATTGTCTCTGTGCAGATGACCCAACAGCAGATTTATTATTCATTATAGCACATACATTTTCTTCTTTAATAATACTGCTCCTAAATTCCATTTAGTTTTATTAACTATATTCAGAGTACTCGAATTTTGTGTGATCTCCTGTTCATTCTTGTCTTTATTTGCATATTTTTATATCAACCTGCTTTTAACCCCTCCAACAATAAGAGTGTCATAAAATTAGGTGGAATTCATTAGTTACAGAGTATTCACATCTGTTATCTCTTAACAGCTTTGTAAACTAATATAACTTGTCAGTGGCCTGTCATTCTTACTTTATATGACAACAAGTAAGGCCAAAGGAATTAATCTCATAGGATTTCAAGAGATCCATCACATCCCGAAATTAAGATTCTGCATTCACGTTAAAAGCCACTGTTTAAATTCTTTCAAGGAAGCAATCAAGCTTATTCTGCTTGTCTTTTATAAGCTCCAAATATCTCATTTCATAAATATTCACAAAAATTATAATCTCTGTAAGTTTCTGAGCTTGTCACATTTCTAAGAAAATTTATAAAATAAAATTAGAATCAAAATGTTTTTTCACTCGAATTATATCAAACATATGTTTGCATGTTTGTATCAAATATTATATGTTTATGATGATATATATGTATAATTCCATTCAAATTATACCAAATGTCATTTCTCTATTTTCTTAGTTTTTGGAAACATGATTTTTCATGACTATTTTCATGACATATATGGATTTTTCTGATATCAAAAAATTTTTTTATCAACTGTATTTTGGAAGATATTTATTACTCCACTGATACTGTTTAAAACTTTGACCTCATTAAACATCTCTCTTATATCTTATAGGTGTAGCTTGGCTAACTACTAGTCACCTCTTCCTTCAAGGAGGCCAACTCCACCCACACTCTCTGTGCAGTGCAGCCAGCTACCTGTGCGTAGCTTTAGCATCCTGCACTTACAACACTGCACTGCAATCACACATATACCTGTCTATTTCCCCAATCTGACTATAAGTTCCTTGAGGACAAAGACTGTAACTTAATCATCACTGTCCCCTTAGTACTTCAATATATATATTAGGCATTCAATATATACAGTTGACCCTTGAACAAAATTGGTTTGACTTGAGTAGGTCCACTTACACATGGATTTTCTTTTCAATAAACACAATTGGTCCCTTGTATCCATAGGTTTTGCATCTGCAGATTCAACCAATGGCAGATCAAAAACAGTATTTTCGCATTCCCACCTGCGGTTTTCCAACCACAGATCGAAAATACTGTTTTTGATCCACAGTTGGCTGAATCCATGTATGCGAAGGGCCAACTGTAGAGTCAGAAGTTGTATGTGGACTTCCAATTGTGTGGGTGTTGGCACTGGCACCACTAGCCCCCCACACTCTACAAGGGTCAACTATATATAATGAATGAATTAATGGACTCAATAGTATTTTATAAAAGAGTGCTGACCAGAGAATAGAAAATACTGTCTTCAGAATTTCTTTATTTCATAAGCCTGTACTTTTCTAGGTTGAAAATTCTCCCATCAGTTATTATTAATTAGAACTAAGAATTAAACACATTTTAAGCACAATTTCTCTCCTTATTGATACTTAACAACTGAGTACAAACAAAATTTTCCATTTAACTAGTGGAATCACAGCATCAGTACGTCACTCAACACAAAGCAACAGTACCTTTGTGGTCTGCAATGTAGTCTGACAAATGCAGAATTCATGTTATTTGTCTGAAATGACCAAAGTTTGTATTTGTTTACCTTGCAGGAAAAGTCTGTAGCTGGTTGTTTGCAAGATGCAAGATTCGCAGGTGCGGGTGGCCCACCAGGACAGGCACACACTGATCTGTCAGGAGGTTGTTGGTCAGATAGAGCAGCTGCAGGGCACTCAGACTCTCCTCCCCGGTGCAAGCAGATGGCAAAGACTCCAGACTATTTGCAGATGCATTCAAGTACCTGAGACTGACAGAACACACACAAGTCATCATTTCCCTTGTGGTTACTTGTCAATTTCTTATGTAGATACCATCATGCCATCTCAGTAGGGAACACTGTCATTCCATGCTCCCAAACTCATGACAAAAGTAATACTTCCAGGTAGTTTAACTGATTCTGAACAACCGAAGTTCCTTTAACTCAACTCACACAAGCCAGACATAGAGGAAAGAATACAGGCTTGGTTGTGGTCCTGGGCTTCTGTAGTGGCCTGATTCTACCCTAGCCTCATCTTTTACTCTCTGTATGTCCCCTGAAAGAGAGCTATTGAGTATCCCATTCACAAATATCTAAACTGTGAAGGCACCTTTCAGAAAAATTTTTGTCAGATTTCAACAGCATCATATTTATTTAGCCAAACTCCTTATAATCCCCTAGTAATAGGCATAGAGGCTGTTCCCAACTTTAACACACACACACACACACACACACACACACACACACACACACACACACAGTGAAACTGAGCTCCAGAAAGGTTATACCAAATTATATTTATATAAATATGTATATATAACATATGTATAATTTTATTATACAGAAGGATATAAGAATTCCAGTTTGCTCACACCTTCGTCAGCACTGAATATCATAATTCATTTCAATCTCTGCCAATCTAACCAGTGAAACATGGTATGGTTTTAAGAATTTGCCTAGCATGGTGTTTGTTATATAAGAGGATGCTCGATAAAAGGCAGCTAATATTATTAAACTTGTGTGTACTTAAGTCTTCTCTATATTGTGTGATCCGCACCCCTAATCAGCTTTTAAGCTGTTGAGGGTACTGTGTGTCTATTTGTCTTTGTCTCAAAAGTGCTCTGTGCAGAGTTAGTATTAAATATCATTGATAGTTTGCTACAGTTGCTAAGTAGCTTCCTTTCCACAGATTCTAAGGTTATAAACTAATTTTATTCAGACTGTCATTAGAACTAAATGCAGTGTTATGTATTACTAAAAATACTTGTTAATTAACAAATGTTACTGCATTAAGATTCTATATAATCTTTCCAAAAAGAAAATTTCCTTTCAACATTCTTTAGAATTTCCAAAGATTCTATATTTAGGGAAGTCCAACCAGGTGTATTATACATTAAGAGATATGTAAGCTGCCAAAGAACAAGCCAGACACTGGAGGGCTAAATGCTTTTTGTATGTCTCCTGTAGCCTTATGTTAAATCGCCACTGCTTATCTCTGTTTTCTCCATTTCTAAATTGAAGACAATATTGCCTTTCCATAGTACAGAAAATAAGTATAATTAAACACTAGTTTTCATTTAATGGTGATGTACGCATTAGATAAATCTGATTTCAGGTATTAAAATAAGACATATTATCTACTGTTAATTTATATTGGAAAAGAAAATAAAACCTTTTGGAACAATGTTACCTTTAAATGCACAGTTTTCAAACTAGGTAGTAAAAAAGTGCTGCAAACAGAGAATGAAACTTAATGATAGCTCAGTAAAGCTAGAAGCAAAAACTAAATTAACTTAGGTGGTGTGTCCGTTTCTCTTAATGCAGAAGCTAAAAATTGCCAAGGAAGCTTTATCAGAATGCTGTCATTTCTCTTTAAAGGTTGTAACTGCATTTTTTTTTCTGAGATGAAAACCTGAATCTTCCCAACCGGTTTGAAATTGTTTACAAGACTAAAACTTAAGTATTTGATGGTTATTTCAACTTCTGAGTTGAAGATTACTGCCTCATAAAACGGTGTCATATTTTATTTCATAGAAATTACAAATAAGTCTCCACTCATAGCTGGACTATGAGGTAAACACTGTAAATATAGCTCCAAAGGTCACCTCAATGACAAGTCAGTGCAGTATGTTTAGCCAACAATTCTGCTCTTCTAAGTAAAATCTATAGTACTTACTTTAAGGCCTTGGAAAAGAGGGTGTCTGGCAGCCTGTTGAGTAGGTTATGCTGAATATCCAACACCTCAAGAGGGATGTGCTCGACCAACACTGGAAGGTTTTGCACATGATTATGTCCCAACATCAGTTTTCTAAGACTCAGGCTACTAAGAATTCTGGGGTGGGGAGAGTGGGGGAAAGTACAAAGAAATAAATAAAAAATTAAAATCTTTCTTTTTGAGTCTGCTCTTGCTATTTAAGAGAAATCAGTAGACAAAGAGAAACATACTCTTCTAGACAATATAATCACTGTTAAGTGCCTGAGACAAGACAGCAGCCCTGGCCATATGTTTGTCCACCACCCACCAGGAACTCATTAAGGTCATTCTGGGAAAAGGCGAATAACAAAAGCAAACAGCACAGAACAGATCTAAACTAAAAAAAGCAATCTCTAGAATAAATCAATTTAGATTTTAAGTCTACACAGCACCAAAACTTCAGTGAGTCTATTAATATAATTGACTATAATAAATCAATAACACAATGTATTATAACAAAACTACTACTTATTCAGTATATAAAATATGCTAGGCCATTTAACTATGAAGTCCAGAAGAGTTAGTGACTTTGAGATTTGCCAAAGAGATCTCACAGTGAAAGTAATAAATGACACAATCAGGATTTGAACTAAGGTCCAACTCCAAAGGTTGGGTTCATACCTACTATGCTGCGAAGCCTCTAGTTTCATTTTAAAGACTCCACTAGGTGATAACCACACATTTTACACTTCAGTGCATCTGAATAAACCATTTACCCCACTCACAAACACCGCTCCCTTTCCTCTTCCACATACAGAAATCCCACCCATCTTCAAAGGTCAACTCAAAAATGCATTCTCCACGAAGCACTCTCTAATTATGCAAAGTTCTGAGTTTTTTAAACATTTTATTTATACAGTGTAGTAATAAAGAGTGAAGGCTTTGAAGTAAGAATGACTACATTCAAAGGTCAGCTCCCATTCCTAGTTAAGTGTGACCTTGGGCAGGTTACCTAGCCATTCCAAGCCTTAGTTTCCTCATCTGTAAGATAAGGATAAGAACACCTATATAATCAGGCTTTCAAAGGATTAAATAAGCTAATAAAAGTGAAGTTCTCAGAACATTACCCAGCTTATAATAACTTACTCAATAAAAATGATCTATTATTAGTATCATACTGACCTATGCCAGCAACATTTATTACATTTTATTAGTTATCTGTGCACGAGTTCCCTCAACTATCTGCTTACTAAGTTTCTTATAGGCAAAGCTATGTATTAGTCATTACTGTGTTCCTTGCAGCACTTTACACTGCCCTGCACCCAGTAGTTACTCAATATTTACTGAACAAATGAATAAAAGTACCTATGAAAGGCTATCTTGATCTAGGAAAATAATTAAATACATGCATACCAACACATCTATTAATATACACATACATAACACAGATAATAACACACACCTCACAGGAATCTCTGTCAAAAGATTGTAGCTCACATCTAATATTTCTATCTTCTTTGCTTCACAGGCCCAGTCAGGGACACACTCCAGCAGGTTTCTGTAGAAAATAAATAATGAAAAGTCATCATTTAAAATGACAAGAGCTCATTTCCCTATTCTGTGATGACTGTGACTCGGCCCGTGAGCCCTTTGAGGGCAGGAGCATGATCCCCAGGGCATTCCCAGTACACCACCTGGAATACAGCAGGTGCTCAATGAATGTTGTTGCTAGAAATGTGGACAAAGATAAGTACACAAACATGTATAACACTGGATCAATTATGCTATAAGCTCAAAGAAGATACAAAGGCTTTCGGCAGTAGGAAAGCATACATGTGGTGGGATGGTTGAGGGAGAGATGAAGACAGACTTAATGCAAGAAGTGGCATTTTAAACAGACCGCTGAAGCTGAGTAGACTATCCACGGGTAATGATTGTGGGAGAAGAAAAGCAAATTCTGGGGAAAATGAACAATGTGAATCAAAGTGAAGAAGTAGGGATAAAAGAGAACTAGTCGGGGGTGCTTCAAATCATTTAGTAAAGCACTGGGCAGACAGTAAAAGAAATTCTATTTTCAGATGTTACTTATCTTCTCTAGGCCTCAAAGTATCTATTGATTGAATGATTGATATGATGAGGCAGAATGAAATAAGAGCTGTAAGAGAAACGCAGATACTACTATGACAACTGAGTGAAAGAAGCACTTTTCCTGAAATGAATCAAGGCAAGCACCCTAAGAAATAACCTGAGTTAGAATTTGAAGAATGATGTATAATGATCTGAGGTGAGGAGGATATTCCAAGAAAGAGGTGACACGAAGTAGAGCACAGGTAAGAAATGGCATGATACATGTGGGAATAATATAAGCAGCTTGGTGATGCCGGAGCAGCAAATACGGAGCAGAGAGTAAGAAACGTAGCTGGGGAGAACGAAATCGTGTTTAGAAGGTTGTGACTTTATCCTGCAGGTATAGGAGTACCACTGAAGGGTTTGTAACCAGTGGGGAGACTGTCAGTTTTGTACATTAAATAGCTCACTCTGTGGATACATGGAGGTCTGGTTGAGGTGACTATCTTAATAAAGGAAGAATTATTAAGAAGCTGTCACTGAATGCCAGATAAGAAACAATGTAGGCCTAAATGGGTGGACATACACATGAAAGGGCAGGAGGGACTCCAGAAATATTTAGGAGGCAAAAATCAAAACTACTGTGAGATGGATCAGACATGTGAGTAGAGCAGAGAGAAGAATAAAAAAGGACTTTCAGGTTTCTAGCCTAGATCACCAGGTAGAAAATCATATCTAGAGACAGTACTGATAAGGTTCAAATGAGGTTGGAAATCGTAAATAAGTAGTGGTGTCCATTTGGATGTGACTGTCTTATGCTAATGCCAAAAGCTGAAATAGATACAAGACAAGTTAAGATGGGGCAGAAGGGTAGATAATGAGTTTAATTTTACATATATTTAAAGCACTTGGTCTAAATATCTTAGTATGAAATTGGACATTTGGGGCTGAGACTGACACTGAACTATGGCTGAAATCATTCGAATAAATTGAGATCATGTCAAATGAGAAGTATAGTGGGCCAAGGACAGACCCTGGAATAAGCAACTTTTAAAGAGCTAGCTGACAAAGAGGAGTACAAAAGAAACAGAAGGAATGGTCAAAGTGGCCTGAAAAAAAAAAAACAGACCATATTAGTTGGCTGAGGAAACAGCATGTTGGAAGAAAGGAAAGTAAGGTGGAAACATTCCCTAAGAGAAAGTCTAACACCAGTTGTGATGGGATAAGCAAAGGGGAACTGGAACTGAGGAAACTGAGCCAACAAATGCAAGTAACTTGAGAAATCTGGACAAAAGGGGATGAGAAGGATTAGACAGCAGCCAGAGTTGTTGCAAGATAATGGGAACTTTTTTTGTTTGTTAAGACAGAAGAGACATGATTGTGTGTACAGACTGAGAAAAAGCTGAGGATATGAATCTACATGACTTTAAGCCAAGAGGTAGGAAGCTGAGGGACATCACCCAAGATGGCCTCTATTTTCTCAATCAAGTAGGAAGCTAAGCTCTAGAGTGGAGGAGATAAGGGGCAGTACAGATGAGGGAAGCTGAGCAATCTGGAACAGATGCCCAGGCCACTGGAAGGAGCTGATCTCCACATAAGGAAAGAAATCATGAATTTATAGTGTTGTCCATATGATTTTCTTCAGCTAGGATCAAGTTCAGCAGAGAAAGTAAAACTTAGAATTGATCCATATTAGGGTTTTGCTAGAGAGGTATGACAGAAAGAAATGCATGGAAAGGAATCTAGAACATAGTTTAATAATAATAATAATGATGATAAAGTAACAACAACAAAAAGAAACCTGGCTATAACAGCTAATATCTTGACTATTTTATGCCAGACACTGTGCTACATATCTCATTTAACCTTTGCAACAACCATGATTATATTATAGGATCCTGTCCACTGCCCTATGTATCTGCTTCTAGCACTCTATAATGTTCTCCTGTAACTACTTATTTGTCAAACTCTCTACTACACTGTAAAACTCAACTGCTGAATCCTGAAATCCTAACATGTTAAAAATGAATGGAGAAAGCAAACCTCATTTATGTTTATTCTTAACCACCACCAGAAGTAATAAAATCCTAAACATAACACCTCTCTAAAAATCACCTCAACAGGGGGCACAAGAGAATCAAAAGAGAAAAAGTTTAAACCACTATCTAAAAACCAAGAATTATCTGATTCCAACTGGCAAAAAGAAATCACTGCCATGATTCATCTCATCCTAAATACACAGTCTTTAAGAATAAGTAATTCATAGGTGCCTTTCTGTTTCAAGAAGACTCTTCCTTTGATTAGACAGTATGGCCATTAAACTTTTTCCTTAACTTATCCTTTTGCCCTTCTCCAGGTTATCTGAATACTTCAATATACTTAGATTTCTTGTACTTCAAACTACAAAATTATCCACATACATCTCTTAAATATTAGGAATCAAACCAACCACTTTCAGAGACATACTCACCTGGAAAGTTCTAGAGAAGTGAGATGACTAGGTACTGGATAGACATTCACTGCTGTTAGCCCTAATCAAAAAACAAATAGGTGTTAGTGACATTCTCTAAAGAAGAAAGTGACAGAGTGTAAACAAGGGAAAAGAGGCTTAGTGAAATCATGAGGAAAAAAACAATGTCATCTACTGAGATGAACTAAAGATAAAAACTACTAGGTAACTCTAATTAACTGCTTGATCCCAATTTGAAAACCAAATACAACTAATTGAAGGATCTTGGGTACTGCACTGGATTCATACTAGGTCCAGCAGCTGTTAAATGTTAACAGTAACTACTTACTTTTAAAAATTAATAACTGGATTTTTTACTGGCAATATTTAAACTTTTAATTAAAGCAAAAACATAAATGCAGAAAAGGGCAACAATCTTAAGTATACAGATCAATGAATTTTTACAAACAGAACACACTGGGGTAACCAGTCCCAGATCAAGAACAGAGCATTAGCAGCTCTCCAGAAGCGGCCCCTCACCTACCCTTCCAGCCACTGCCCCGCAAGGGCAACAGGGTCCTGACTCCCAACACCACAGGCTATGTGTGCCTGTTTACATAAATACGCGCACTCAGTATGTAAAGGTTTTGATCTGGCTTCACTCGCTCCACATCGCGTTTGTGAGATTTGTTCATATGATTGCACATGGTTGTTCACTCATTCTCACGACTGGATAAAACGTTTTAAGCAAATATGCCACAATTTATTTATCCATTTTAGAGTCTGTGCATTTAAATCTCTTCCAGTCAGGGTTATTATGAATAGTGCTTCTATTCACATTTTTGTACATGTCTTTTGTGGTCTCATATACGCATTTATGTCTCATGTAAGCCTCGGAGAGGAACTGAGGAGTACCGGGCAACATGTGTGCAGCCTTAGTAGATACTACCCAACAATTTTCCAAAGTGGTTGTGCCACTTACACTCCTGACAGCTGACACTGGTAATTTCAGTCTTTTTCATTCTAGTCATTCTGGTAGGTGTGTAAGTGGTGTCACACCGGGGTTTCAACTTGCACATCCCTGACGACTCGTGAAGTTTAGTATCTTTTCCTATATTAACTGATCTGGATAACTTCTTTTGTGAAGCTCAATTCTTTACTTTTGAGGCAACAAAACTACAAGTGTTGCTGTGAATTCTTGCAGGTTGTCGAACTTAAAGATTCTGTAAACAAAGTAGCTAACTTCAAACAAGTTTGGTACATTTAGTACAGTACTGAGACAGAATCTTAGTTACTAAGAAGGACTGCGTGTATGTCAACAAGGTCTTTTCCAGTAAGGCCAGTCATTCATATTCTTTAGCTACATTAAGAATAGAGAACAGGCCTGATAATATTTCCGTGGCAAAAGACCTACTACTATCTCATTATATCTATAAACAGCACAAGTAAACACTCATTGACTTTGACATTATTCTGACCTGAGCTATTAATCTAAGCTACAATGTGAAGCTTCTGTAACATGATTAAAGGCAATCACAAGAGAAGTTCTTAACTATCTTTTATCCTAATAATGTATTTTAGAGATATAGAACAGTAAAGAGAATAAAATAATAAACAATCTTTCATATATCATCTAACTTTTAACAAATCTTCACATTCTGCTTTATATGCTTCAGATTTTTTAACATAAGAATTAAATCTGCACATAGCAAGAAATAAACATCATCCTGAATATGATTTTTATCATTCCCATAAATTCTTTCATTGTCTTATGGCATACTCATAATTAAGAAAACAACATTTTTGTGTTTTAAAATCTGGTATACCTAACATAGCATACATAAAATTACACACTTTTATGCTCAAAAATGTTTCTGAGTTTATCCATATTAACACACAAAACTTTAGTTCACTGATTTCCATTGCTATGCAATATTCAACTGTATATCACTGTTTATTTATTCTTATTAATAGTCATATTGTTTTTTGCACTATAACACAAAATGCTGTGATAAACATTCTTGTACACATCTCCTTCTGCACATGTGAGTGTCTCTGGGAAATATTCCAAGCAGGGGAACTGCTAGAAAATGGGCTATGTGCATCTTCAACTGCTCTAACAATGTCATTTGGCTCTCACAGGTGGTTTTACCAATTAATCCTCCACTGGTGGTTTATGAGAGTTGCTGCTTCTCCATATCTTCAATAGTACTTAGCATTATCTTTTTATTCATGAGTATAAAATGGTATCATCTAAATTTATATTTCTCTGACAGTGAAATTGAACATCTTTTCCTTTCCTTCTTTAAACACAGAAAAATGCCTCATGTATGTTGAGGCCATTCTTTTTCTAGTTCTTTTGTAGAGAACTAGAAAAAGAATGGCCTCAACATACATGAGGCATTTTACACTGAAATATTCCTGAATCAAATCACTGTTAAAATGAGGGGCTTCTCTCCCAGAACTGAGGCAACCCAAAGTTTTAGATTAGAAATTGGCAAAGAGCTAAATAATTAGTAAATATTTGGCACTTTGTGAGCTCGAAGTATCCTGCAATGTCTATTTATGCATATCTCAACTGCTTAAGTGTTGACGGCAAACTTAAAACACAAAGCTAGGTCTCAATGAACCTCGAACTTCACTTTGCAGAGTGGCTGCAGAACACCACAGAGTCTGTTGTTCTTAGAAAGCTCTCATGAGAGCTACGAGAGAGAAAGCAGGAGGCTGGATAGGGAACTCACTGTTTGAACTGGCGTACAGAGTTCGAAGGGAGAAGCCACTGAGTGTCAGCTCCCTCAGCTGGTTCCGCTCACAATGCAGCTGCTCCAAGCTACATAAGGAGCTAAGATCTAAGTCAGTCAGCTGATTGTCCCGCAAATCCATGTGGGTGATGTATTTATTTCCCTCCAGATTTTCAGTAACAATGGTTTTCAAATGGTTCATCCTTAGTATTCAGAAATAAGGAAATCATTAGTAATAAATACTACTAAATGTGCTTATTACCAAAAGAAAAATGAGAGGTATGATCCCTTTCTCTCTTTTTTAAACAACTTAAGAATTTAGCTACTTGCCTCATTTCGCAAGGTACTAAGTAAATAACCAGATAGCTGTACCCTGAGTCCTTTGTTTATAAACCAGACAACCCAAATTGGCAAATACATAACAAGTTATATAAAGAGAAAGGAAAAACTAATATCGACGAAATTAGTTAAAAACGTACATCCAAATACCTAATAAAGTTAGGTAGGGACGAAGGACTAGGACAAAAGAACAAGAATGTGAAAATAACCTTCCAGGTTCGCGACTAGCAAAGCAGTCACTGAGTACCATGTCAAGAGCAAGAGGAAGCAGCCACACTTCCTCCTGTTCTGGCTACTCTCTCTAGGGCTAAGATTCACATTACGTTAATTAATGGAGAGGAAAAAATTCTGTTTCTATACGGAGTAGTTCAAAGGAAAATTATAGAAAATGGCTTCTTGGTTCTCTTATATACAAGTATATGATTGAATGCACACAGGCCTGTTCTCATTTTCCTGTATTTCAATAAATTTTTCTGTTACTATGTCTTTACAAGAGACATCAATAGCTTAGTGTAAATGATAGAACATATAGTATGTGTCTTTTACCACTTCCTTTAGGAAAAGATAACTAAAAAATAAAATTCTTATAAAAATTATTAGCAGTAAAACCTTTTAACATTTTAATTATAATGAAGTGGATATCAAGAAGAAATCCAATGATTCAATAAAGTGGTCAAGTTTATGGAAAAACAAACAATAAGCATATAAAAAGATGCTCAAGCTCACTGATAAGTAAATAAATTGATTAAAACAATGAAATACCATTTTCTACCTGCTACATTGACAATAAGGAAAAAGACTACTAAAATTCAACACTGATAAAGATGTGCGGACATGGAAATTCTCATAAAATGATGCTGGGAGGGTAAGTCAGGACAACCTTTGTCAAAGGCAATCTGAAGTCTCTATTACGTGGTATACCTCTACCTCATTCATAACCTCTCTGCTATGGAATGAAAAATGAAGCTTTACTACAGCTTTGAAAATATACACTGTTTTAAAAGCCTAATGTTTTAAAGAAGGCTTTATAAAGAGAAAACTTAAAGGTCCATCAGAGGTCAATCTAAAGAAAAGATGATGGTAATGAATGACCTTACCTTAAATCTACATGTTTGATATGGTTCATCCTGTTTAGCAGCCCTACGTTTAGCACTTCCAGGCGATTTCCTGCCATAACCACTTTATCTAACATAGTGAGTTTCTCATAAACCTCAGGAATTTGACTAAAGTTGTTGAAGGAAATTCCCAAGGAGGAAAGCTGTTGCAGATTTCCCAATTCTTCAGGCAAAGCCGTCAGATAGTTGCCATCAAGACAGAGAGTATGAAGACTGTAGAAAGAAAACAAAACAAGTCTACTTTATGAAAGGTTTTAATGAGAATGGATAGAACTAAATTATGGATTCTAACTTATGTCACTAATTATGGATCCAATAAATGATAAACGATCCTAAGTCTATCTAGAGAAATTAATAAGATGCTTTTACATAACTGACATGAATGGTCCCTCCAACATCAAAAATAGTCAGAGCCTCTGTTGCTGAAACTGAGGGACTGACTAGTCACTGCTGTAGGCAAGTAACTGCTGTTGACTAGAACCATCACAATTACAGGATTTGTTTCACTGCAAGAGCTCACAGTACTACCTTCATTCCTGACGCCAGACAAGTTCCTTATTCTGCAAAGGAAAAGATGAATCTAGTAAAAAGTCAGATACTTACTTCAGCAGATTGCCAATCTGATTTGGCAAGTCGTGAAATCCATTACAGGAAAGGTTTAGTTCAGTCAGGGTAGAAATCTCACATAACAATACAGGAAACAACCCAAGTTTATTATGGGACAAGTTCAGGCCCTTCAGCTGAGAAAATCTAAAAGGCAAAGACACAAAATATACTACTGAATGAAACAGCAATCTGTTTTAAATGTCCATCACAGAATTTGTTACACAAATACATTCTTGTGCACTCGCTGCGTGCAGAACATTGTACGTGGCAGAAACTAAGATGACTAACGGTCAGTCCAGGCCATCAAAGAAACCAGGTCTCATGTGGTAGGTGTTCCTTCCCCTTATCCTTTAAAAGGCAGAAAATCTTGAAAAAGCTCACGCTGATATAATTATTTTGTATCAAGTCATATTGATATGCTTGAAATCTTTTCCTTTATTAAATTTCTACATGTATAAAAGTCTTGAAACAATCAACTCATGGACATGGAAATAGCTAACAAACATGCAGATCGAATCCCATTATAAGCAACTTTTTCATATCTGAAATTAAGTGGCTCAAACATCACTTAAAATGAATGGGCCACTTAGAGCTTAAAAATATATGTGTAATATGGCGTTTTACTGTAATATGATCTATTTTTAATAATTTCTAGTGCTTCTATTTTGTTTGTACAAGTATCTATACTGTCTTAGCAAGAGATAGTATCATCACAGATTGGATCCCCGGGAGTCACTCTGGTAATTCTACTTAGGACTATCATATTTCGTTATCATGCTAGTATAAGATGGTATAGCTGAGGCAGTGCTCTCCACGATAATGATCTGTATCACCTGCTTCTAGACCTGAATCCTCGGTACTTCACTCTTTTAATATTGCTCTTCCAAATCTTCAACTCTTGATTTCTAATTGACCTGACCTTGAGTACTGATTATTCCTTTGGCTTGGTGCCTTGACTTTAGTGCTCCTAACCTAGCCCTCAAACTAGATTAAAACTATTTTCATAGCAACTGAGAAGGAAATGCTAGAAACCCACTTCCTTAAAATTATACCTTTTTATTTTTACACACCAATATTAAAATAACTACCTCATTACTAAATATAGGCTTATGGCTGAAACTTTATAAAACATAGCAGATTGGATAAAAATCAGTGTTTTCTGAAAACTATTCTAGAAATGAGTTATTAAAGAAGTATAAAATATCACTTAATGTGTATAATCTTTTTAATCACCATGTAATTTGAATGTTTTAATTTCCAGTTTCTCCACTCCCCACAAGCAGCCCAATTATACCACATGTTTATTCATTTCCATCCACTTTTAAAGGGAAGAGGGAGGGGACATGAGTGGAGGTTGGGAATGGAGAATATATTCTAACAAAGATGATGGAAAAATATATGGGTCATAGTCCCTTAGGAGTGAAATGATTCCTTTATTAGAAGAGAGAGGTTTCAAACTAATAAAAAGCTCGAGAGCTGGGAGTAGCAGGTACAAAAGAAAGATAAAAGCCTTAACTTGGGAGTGGGAATTCTTGAAATTAGGCCTAGTTCCTTTAAGTCATTTATGCTTGATACTTCTGATTTGAAAACTTCCATAAACTGACTCTCTCGGTTTACCTTGGCTCAGTATGCTCACTTCCAGGTATAAACCACTAAGACACTGATTATCAGTTCTAATAAGTTAGTCTGGAAACCTATTCTCCACATACTTGTAGAGAGTATCAAGGCCCCCTGGTCTTTCTAATTGCATGAAGTTGTGTCGCAAGTTGAGGTAGGTGATATCTTGACTGTAGAAGAGATGCTCAGGAACCTCCTCAAGGCTGTAACATGAGAGATCGACAGTACTGATTCGCTGGGACACCACCTGAATCAAGTCAAAGAGAAGAGCCATCTGAGCTAGCAGGGTGTGGAATGACATTTACACAAAAAGGCACGGTTTAAAAAGATGGGAAGGAAAAAAACAAAGGTAATAAGATCCAATTATTCCTTCATAAAAACCAATTAATTTTTACTTTTCCTAAAACTATAGGCTGCAGGAAAACCCAAAAGAATTCTGTAAAGTATCTATAAGCAAAAATAAATAAATAAATCGTAAAGATGGAAAACTAACATTTCATGCAAGAAGTAAAGTTGATTCAAAATAACTGTACAAAACTTTGGGAGGCAGTGTGGTATCGAAAGATAAGGCCTTTTGTAGCCACATGTGCCCTGCTCCTTACTAGTGCAGTTTTTTCATTTGTCATGAGTATAAAATTAAATAACCAAGCATATAGCACACTGCTTAGCATGCAAAGGGTGTTCAAAAAATATGAACTTCTAAGGGTGAAAGAACGGAATAGCTACTAAAAGTTGAAACTAGTTTTATTCCAAGTAGATTTTGTTACTACCATAAGTACTGAAAATTCAATAAAACCAAAACAAGGATTATATTTCTAAAATAATATGCTAATAAAATATGAGTTCTAAAAATGAGTCTAAAAAAAAAAAACAAAATATCACTGGAAAAGTCACTCATATTTTGATGACAGGTTATTATGCTAAAACAATCCTTTATTCAACTATTTAGCTCCACAAAGAAAAGTATGTTAAAATTCTGTGAAGATAGCTAGGAGAACAAGAATTAAGAAATTGCAAAACAATTTTAGAGCACTTCATCGTTACAGGATAAAAAAGCAGAAATTATACTGAAAAGCTAATTATCCTCAGCATACAGGAATAATGGTTTGTGACAGGATTACAGGTCATGTCCCATCAATAAGTTCAAATCTAAAGCCGTTCATCAAAGCTGTGCTAAATATATATAGACCCAGCGAGACCAAGAAGCACTGGGTTACCAGTTAAGGTACTATGGTCGAGGAAAAGTCATTTGAATCTCATTCCTACCCTCCTCACAGATGGTATAGAAGTAAATGCATCTTTCAAAAGCATTTTGAACTATGCAAATATAAATAATAAGTTAAGACCTCATGGAACTACATGACTTCATTCATTATATACTCAGAAAAGACCTAGAATAAAATGTGTAAGAATTATAATTTGCTCTTCTGGGAGTAAGTTCAGTTTCAAAACACATTTCTATTGGGCTTCTAAATTCTTATCTCCACATCATGACATCTGACAGCTTATCACCTTGGACGCTTGCCGTTGCCATCTCTGGTACTCAGCCAAAGTCTCAAAGCTGACATGATAGGTCTGAGCTTGGGCTCCAGCTGAGCTGAATACAAGGGAGTACTGCCTTCGCTTCACTTCCTCTACCTGAAGAAGAAAAGGGAAGAAAACCAGAACTAATTTTTAAAAATTCTAGTCAAAAAGCAAAGGATAATGACAAGACAAATAACTTAAAAATAGGTGAAGGATCCAAATAGACATTTCTCCAAAGAAGATAAATGCCAATAAGCACATGAAATGATGTTCAATGTCATTATTTATTAGATAAATGCAAATCAAAACCACAAGATACCTCATCACATCCACTAATGGATGGCTAAAATCAAAATCACAGATACTAAGTGTCAGTTAACAAGTATAGCAATGATGTGGAGAAACGGGAACGCTCATACATTGCTGTTGGGAATGTAAAATGGTGCAAGCGCTTTGGATAACAGTCTGGCAGTTCCTTAGAAGGTTAAACATAGAGTAACCATGTGACCCAGCAATTCCACTCCTAGGTACAGACCCAAGAGAACTGAAAACATACATCCACACGAAAACTTACAGCATTATTCAAAATGGCCAAAAAGTGGAAATAACCTAAATGTCCATCAACAGGTAAATGTATATACAAAATTATGCTGTATTCACACAAAGGAAGATTATTCAGCATGAACAGGAATAAAATATTGATACACACTACAGCACATATGAACCTTGAAAACATTATGCTAAGTGAAAGAAGCCAGTCACGAAGAACCATATACTACGTGATTCCATTTACATGAAGTGTCCAGAATCAGCATATCTGTAGACAGAAAGTAGATCAGCAGGTGCCAAAGGCTAAGGAAAGAATAGGGAAATGACAGCTAAGGAGTGCAAGGGTTTTTTTTCAGGATCATGAAAACATTCTAAAATTGATTGTGGTGATGGTTGCCCAACTCTGGTAATATACTAAAAGCCAAAGAATTAAATACTTTAAGTGGGTGAATTGTACAGTATATTAATTATAGCTCAATAAAGCTGTCTAAAAAAAGCAAAAGAATACTTATAACAAGTATATTGAATGAGCAGGACTCACAGAGCATAATTGTAAGTAAGTTTATTACTATTTAAGTCACAAAATAGTTTCACTTTGATAATTAAATATGTGTTGAATGAATACATTCTACTCTTCTGGGTGCTGGGGACACAGAGGGAAAAAAGCAACAAAGCCCCTGCTCTCAATGGAGTTTACATATGAGAGGGGACAAATACTCTAACATCAAAACTGTCATATAATGGAATATAACATGATGTAATATATAAATGAGTTAATATGAAGAAAATAAAGCAGACTAAGGGCTTAGAGGGAAACTGGCCTGGGGCGGGGGGCGGGAGGGGTTTCTGAATGATGAACAGGGCAGTCAAGAAGGAGCTCATTGAGGAGGTAACGAGTGAAACAAGATCCTAAGGGGGTCCAGGAGCAAGGCATGGAAACCTCCCCAGAGGAGCATTACTGGCACAAGAGCAAGTACAAGTCCCTTTGATGCAAGAATTTATGCTGTGTTTCAAGTGTCTCCTGAACAAGCCCACATGGTATGAGGCAAATTTTCCACTTCAAAGGTTAGACTGCTCCAACCCTTTCCCCCAACACTGGGGCACATGGATGTAGCTGCCTGCCCACAAGGGGTGCCCTCGCCTGCTTTTTGGACTCACCTCCTCCCTTACTTACTAGGTACTGGGATGGATGCCATTTCTGACTCCCTCTTGGGTTGAAGCAGAGAGAGAAGGAGGATAGGAAATATATAAGCCTAAAGGTTCTTACTAGACTAGCAGAGTCATAATCTGACTTCACAATCTCTGGGCCTACCAGATTTTAAAGGGGATTTTAAAGCAAATTTCAATGGACCCTCCTGAAGGTTCTTTGGATACCCCCACCCCAATCCAACCAATGACAACATTTACTTATAGATCTCTTCATCTGACTAATGCATATTATTCCAGCAAATGACCACTCCCTCCTCAGACCCAAAGAAATCTGGTGGTCTACTTTCAGCTTGTCTGCCCCTCCATGTGGCCCTATTGGACATGTTCTAAGAGAATCCACCCACCCACCCAATGGTTTTCACTCTCTTTCAACCCATCAGGGTCACGAACTAACAAACCCAAAGAGTACACACAATGACCCCAATGACTGAGCTGGGCTTTCTGCTCTCACCAAAGCAGCAAGGTGTCCTATCTCTTGTCTTCAAGACTTCCAGGTCAGAAGGCAGGACACCAGGCCACTATGTCTCTCATAATGCAGGGGACCCATAGCAAGCTCTCGAGTCTTACTGAAACCTCTTTCACCAGGCTTGAGGAAAGAGACAGAAACCTCCCCATTCCCATTCGAGGTGGTGGCAGAGATTCACAGCACAGCTTTCTTCAAAGAAATTCTGCAAATCCAACAACCCAACCTATACAGCTTTGATGAAGATGAAGTCTTTTTATAGTTATGGAATCACTTACATCTTTGTCTGACATCTCACTTTGGTATGTCATAGCTATTGAATCTTAGTGAGCCAGCTGGAAACTTCCAAGTTATACTTGTAAATCATTAGGTTTCTGGTGGCAAGTAAAGATTAAATCAAGTGGCGGAAACACAAAACACTTTAAGCAAAAAAGAATCATATTAAAAAGATCCAACAAATTAAATAATATTCATAACTTTCAATTGTGATGCTCACCACATGACCATTTTTCTTATAGTAATAGATCACTGCAATTGAATGAGTCTGTGTCAAAATAAAGGGTGTTAATGAAATGAAGGATACCATTTTAGGATCTTTCCTTTTAAATGTTTATTATGGGATGTTGACACAGAAAGAGTCATATAATGTCTAATAATTAAAAAGGTTTGTAAATTTCCCACTAAGAGTTAATTTGTCAACTGCTTTAAGTACATTAATTTTTGCATTATATATTTTGAGACTATATTGTAAAATATGTACAACTTCAGAATTATTAAATATTCCTAGTGAAACGTTCCTTTCATCATTGTGTAGTGAGCTTCTTTATCTCTACTAATACTTCTGCACTAAAGTCTTTTTTGGTGAAGTAAGTTTTTATTGAGGTAGAAGTTACATTAAGTCTTTGGATTAAAAAGAAAATTGATTGATTCTAAGTGAACAATTTGGTGAATTTTTATAAATGAATACATCTCCCAGATTTCCCTTGAGCCCTTTTCAGTCAATCCCCTCCCCTCCAGACCCTCGCAACAGTGGTCTGTTTTCTATCACTATAGTTTTGTCTTTTTTAGAATTTCACATAAATGGAATCATACCATAAAAAGACTCGAATTTGGCCTCTTTCACTTAGAATAATGCTTGTGAGATTCATCCTTGTTCTTGTATGTATCAGCGATTCATTCCTTTTTATTGCTCATTATTTCATTATATGGATATAACAAATGTGTTTATCAATTTACCAGTCAATGAACATTTGGGTTGTTTCCAGTTTGGAGCAATTATTAATAAAGCTGTTATGAATATTCACTTAAAGTCTCTGTAAAGATATATGTTCATTTTTCGATATATAGGAGAACTGCTGGGTAATCCAACAAGCATATGTTTAACTTTATAAGAAACAAAAAAAATAGCTTCCAAAGTGACTGCATTCCTACTAATGACGCATGAACAATCCAGTTGCTCATCTTTGCTAAATTCGGTATTCATCAGTCTTTGGATTTTAGTCATGCTACTGGTGTGCAGTATCTCACTGTGATTTTAATTTGCATTTCTCCAATGACTAATGATGTTGAAAATCTTTTCACGTGTTTATTTGCCAACTGTATATCTTCTTTGGTAAAGGGTCTGTCCAAATTTTTGGCCTAGCTTTTTAATAGGTTATTTGTCTATCACTATATTATAAAAGTTCTTTATATATTCTGAATACAAGGCCTTTGTTGCATATAAACTTTCATGTCAGTGTTTTGTACGATGTTGATATAATTGCACCAATTTTCTTTTGGCTGCTATTCGACTAGTATCATTTTTCCATCATTTCATGTTCGACCTTCTAGGTTTTAGGTGTGCTTCTTATAACAAAAATTTTAGGTGTGTCTCTTATAACAAAAATTGAAATAACAATCTGACAATCACAATTATTGAGATTATTGATCTATTTGGATTTATTTCTATCACTATACTCTGTGGTAATTTACCATGTTAATTATTTTGCTCCTTTTTTCCAACTCTTTTCCTGCCTTCTTTTAGCATTACAGAAATATTTTATATTTTCTTTTCTCCCTCTACTGTTAGTAGTTATCTTTAAATTTTTAAAATTCATACTTGACAATTTTTCTAATAAAGTTTAAAGTTATTTGGCGTTTCTACCCTCTTATTCCAAGACTATATCACACTTTACTTATCAAACACACCACATCTTGAATACTGTTCAGGGTAGTTTGAGTTCTAGCAGTTAAAATTTCTAATTAAAATACACAAATGTTTAAAACTTTTTACAATCAACATTAAATTTGCCACCATAAATATCTGTCTGTACTCATTGTTTCTCATATCTCATACTTTCCCTTTGAATTTACTTTCCTTTAGTATTTTTTTTTTAACTTTCTTTTTTTTGGCACATTAAATTTGCCACCATAAATATCTATGTCTGTACTCGCTGTTTCTTATATCTCATACTTTCCCTTTGAATTTATTTTATTATTATTTTTTTAACTTTCTTTTATTTTTGGCAAGGGGTTGTTTTTTTGGAAGTATATCCTTCAGCAGATTTTTCAGTGAGAATATGTCAGCTCACTAGTCTTTGTCTGAAAATGTCCTATTTTTCCTTGACTCTTGTAAGGTAATTTAGTTGGCTATAAAACATAAGTTGACATGTATTGTCTTTCAGCAATTTTTAAAATACTCTTCTAGCACATACTGTTGATGAAAAGAAAGCTGTTGTCAGCCTGTCTGTTCCTTGTAGGTAATCTTTTTCTCTCTGGAAGCTTTTACAATTTGCTCTTTGTCCTTCATGTTCTGCAGGATGTCTAAGTGTAGATTTATTTTTATTTATCCTATTTGGTACCTAGTGTACTTTTAGTCTGAATGTTCATGTTTGTCTTTACTTCTAGAAAAATTTCAACCATTAGTTCTTCAGGTATTGCTTCTCCATTCTCCTCTACTCTCTTCTCTGGAACGAGCGCCTCCCTTAAGGGCTTTTTTATATTATTTATCTGTGAAATTCTTCAGTATATCAGTTACTTATACTCGGCTGTAAAATAATGGCTTAAAAAAAGTCACTTCGTAATTGGTATAGAAGCTCCATAATGCCACAAGGGGCCCAAGTGCCTTCTACTTTCCAGACAACCACACTCGGCATATACTTGCTTTCCCGAATCATCATATGACTGCTCGACCTCCAACTGCATTCCATAAGGGAAGAAAAAGTACAGCAAAGGGTCAAGGCATCCATGTCTGTCCCATTTTGAAGGGCTTTCCCAAAAGTCCTACCTGGAAACTTTTGTTTATATCTACTAGCCACTACTAGCTGCAAGGGAGGTTGTGGAGACATAGTTTTTGATCTTGGTCATACTGCCACCATTAACAAAATTCTCTTTTTGCTCTGTCTCCCACTTCTTCTCCAACACTGTCTCCCTAACTTTGCCCTCACTCCTTCTCCCTTTGGAAAAGTTTTACTTACTTTCTTCACTCTGTTCTTCAGCCTGCAAGACCAGAACCAGGTCCCATATTAGTAGTGGTGGGTTCTTACCCCATGGCTGATACTGGATATATACACATTCATTTATTAAGACAGATGGGACTTGTTCATTTCTTTGTCACAGGACATATAACTAAATCCTCCACTTCTTTGGGACCATAGCTAGACACAAGCCTTGGTTCCAGTCAGTGGTTAACAGCAGTTTTGTTTTCCTAGCTTTCTTTCAAGAGCAAAGAATACCATTCATCTACTAGCTTCAAGCAATAAGCCTGGGCCAGGTCACCCATCATGAGCAAAGCACTTTTAGATTCAAATATTTACAGGAGCTGAACTCCTGGGCTGCCACAACCTTTCAGACACAGAGTCCAGGAAGCCTCCAGATTCAGACCTACTCACCACTTACATTTCTAATTTATATTCCTAAGCCCAGTTATGTCTCTTTATATATTTATCTTTTTAATATATGTATTTTATCTGTATTGCTGGTATCTGGATCAGACTGAATGTCTCAACGCATGGATTCACAGTTGTTTTGTCTGGAGGTTCTCTTAAGTTCAGATTGTTTTATAATATTCAAAATTCAAAATAAAGTTATACATAGTTTCATATAAACATTAACATATCTCTTTCCAGTCATCTGTTATTCTGCTTGACTGACTTGCAACTGAACTCCTTTCGTATGATAGGGAATTCTCTGGTACAGATGCAAGAAATGGCATGCCTCCACGGCTGCTGGACAGGGGCTTACGACCATCCCAGACTCTGAATTTTAGTCTAATGAGAGAAAAGGAAAAACTAGAAAGAATCTAAATTGGTGAACAGATGATGGCAGCTACTTCTAGGTTCCAAAACCAGTTTCTAGTTAGCTAGCATCTTCTGTCTACTCTTAGTGACAGCATCTAGTGCCTACCACTGGAGAGAGCAAAGTGTCTTCAAAGAAGGATTCTGCCGCAGAACTGGGGTATAGATGTCCTTTGGACCTCCAAGAGTCTTTGATATAAATAAACCTGTTTTATGCTTAAATTAGCCTGAGTCTGTTTCTTTTGTTTATACTAAGAACTCTAAAAAACTTTGTGATGTGATCATTAATAATGCTCATACTGGCTGCTTCTTTAAAAAGATGTGAAAAAAGCTATGAAAAGCATATGTGATATTTTAAAAATTAGATGATCAAATGAGGAATAATAATTCATCTTTGTGAGTCGTACCTTTCCCCCAACCAGAGGCAAGATGTGCATCTTTCCAGTTTGACAATCCTTTACTGAGGAAACGATGAGGCAGGTGCCACAGAGAACGACTAGGCGTTCAGCCCACTTATGCAGCTGGGTCTTCCCTTTGCGTACATTATAGATGCCAGAGAGAAGAATTCGATCCAGATGATCCATCTGGCATGGTTTTTCTGAAAAGAAAACAGTACTTCAGAAACCACCATAAAAATACTATAAGAACAGTATGAGGGAAAAAGAAAGTATTATGTGTCAACATTCAGCAACCTTATTTACAGATTTAAGCAACCAAGCAATATAAGTATTATAAAATAAGGTCTCAGTCCAAAATTGTTATCCATTACTGAAATTATATAATGGGAGTACCATGAACTTTGGTCTAGAGAGAAAGATTTTATTTTGGATGCCACTGTTAATCCTTCTTCCAACAGCCATATCACTCATGTGCACAGAGAAAGGCAGTATGGAGGAGTGGTTGAAACCATGGCTTGGAAGCCAAACATTCAAACCTGAGTTTGAATCCTTGTTCTGCTACTCACTTTGTTTCTTTGAACTAATTTTTTTTTTTTTTTTTAGGTGACGCATGGTTGACCTCACAGACTGCAAGGACCTTGTCAGCTTACAATCTCTTATTTTTTATTTTTTACGCCTACAGCACCTGGTCTTCTAGGTGGTCTCCCATCCAAGTACTAACCAGCCCGACCCTTCTTAGCTTCCGAGATCAGACAGGATCGGGCTTGATCAGGGTGGAATGGCCATAGACTGAACTAAATCTTGCTGAGCTTGACTTTCTTCAATTATACAGTTTGGATCTTAATAGTACTATCTATCTTCAGGGGTTCTTATAAAAAATTAAGATAATGAATGTAAAGTACTAAGCATAATTTTAGGTATAAAATAAGTATGGAATAAATCACAGCCGCTATGGTTGTGATTAGTCTATTCATGAAAGAAGTAATTAATAACTATGGGAGTATGCTAATTCTATATACAATCCTATTTTTCTGCTCCTTGTGAGAAAAGTTTATGGCTGATAATCATGGTGGCAGAAGTTAAATGTGCATGTAAGAGCTTCTCTTCCTTTTAGCACTCTCTTCCCATTAGAAATACTTATATAACTGAGGTATAGTGAACAAAACAGCACATTATGACAGAAGAGATGTTCTTGGTTAAAGTGCTACTAAAAACAGACAAGTAATTCTACACAGACATGAACAAGAGCAGCAACAGTATGAGGTGGTGCAAAAAGCAATAAACTGGAAGTTGAGGAAACTGGGCTGTACTTATGTACAATTATTACATAATTGATTATTACATAATTGAACTTTGGGCATCACTTTGCCCTTTTAACTATGTTTTTCCATATGAGGAAATAGGCTAGATTACTTCAAAGCTTTGAAACTTTGTTAATACTAGATATATGGGTGAGCCATTTCTCCTTTTTTCTACCTGGCTTTCACTCCTCAAAATTGCACGATTCATAGGTTGATAACGGCCTTCAAATTTCTATCTCCTACCCCAATCTTCACTTAGCAACTGGATCTCATATACTCAATTGCTTGCTAGACATGCTCAACAGATGTACCCATTCATCTCAAATTGACAGATTTAAAACCAGTATCAGACTGGAAAGAAAGAAGTAAAACTATGTCTATTTGCAAATGATATAATCCTGTATATAGAAAATCCTAAGTAAGTCACAAAAAGGGCTATTATAACTAATAAATGAGTTCAGCAAGGTTGCAGGATACAAGATTAAAAAAAAAATCAATAGTATTTCTATGCACTAGGAATAAACAATTCAAAAGTGAAATTAAGAAAGCAACTGCATTTACAATAGCATCAAAAAAATGAAGGTAGTGCAAAACACACTGAAAACTACAAAATATAGTTGAAAGAAATTAAAGAACAAAGAGCTTGCATATGAAGTACAGTACTGACATAAGGACAGACACAGAATAATGAAATAGAATTGAGAGTTCACAAATAAACCTCATTTATGGACAAGTGATTTTGACAAGAGTACCAAGATAAGTCAATGGAGAAAGAATAGTTTTGTCAACAAATGGTACTGGAACAAATGGATATACAGATGCAAAAGAAAGAAGTTGGATCCCTAACTTCACACGATATATAAAAATTAATTCAAAACAGATCATACACCTAAATCTAAAAACTAAAAACTACAAAACTTTAAGAAAACATAGGAATAAATCTTATGGCCACAGATTTAGGCAATGGTTTCTTAGTTACACAAAAAGCACAAGTGACAAAAAAGAAAATACAGATAAACCAGACTTCATCAAAAAATAAAAAACTGTTGTGTTTCAACAGACACCATCAAGAAAGTGAGAAAATGACTCACAAAATAGGAGAGAATATTGGCAAATCATAAATTTCATAAGAGACTTGTATCCAGAATAAAGAACTGTTACAAAATTCAGCAATAAAAAGACAACTCAATTAAAAAATGGACAAAGGATTTGTATAGATATTTCTCCAAAGAAGATATACAAAAAAGGCCAACAAGCACATGAAAAGATGCTCAATGTCTTTAGTTATTAGGTAAATGCAGCTCAAAACCACAATGAGATACCAGTTCATACCCACTACAATGACTTATAATCAAAGACAAACAATTACAAGCATTCATGAGGATGTAAAGAAATTGAAACCCTCATACATTGCTGGTGGGGTTATAAAATGGCACAGCCACTTTCGAAAACAGACTAGTAGTTCCTAAAAAAGTTAAACAATTCCATTCCTATGTCTATATCCAAGAGAACTAAAAACATATATCCACACAAAAACCTGTACACAAGTGCACACAGTAGTATTTATAATAGCCAAAAAGTAGAAACAATCCAAATGTCCATCAACTGATGAATGTATAAACAAAATGTGGTACATGATACAATGGAATTTTATTCAGCTATAAAAAGATATGAAGTGCTGATACATGCTACAACATAAATGATCCTTGAGAACATTATGCTAAAAGACACCAGCCACAAAAAGCCATGTATGCATGATTCCATTTTTATGAATTATTCAGAACAAGCAAATCTACAAAGACAGAAAGACCCCTGGCTGCCAGGTGCCGCAAGTATGGGAATAACTACTAATGGATATGAGGTCTCATTTTATGGTGATGAAAACATTGTAAAATTAAATAGGGTGATGGTTATGCAACTTTCTGAAGGTGTTAAAAAGCACTGAACTGTATGTACACTTTTAAAGGGTGAATTTTATGGTTATGAGTTGTATCTCAATAAAGCTGTTTTTTTAAAACCTCATTTTTTCCCCAAACCTACTATTACTTTTATATTCCCTATCCTGGTTTACAGCATCAGCTACTACAAAGTTGGCTAAAATAATATAAAAATGGGACTTCATTATAGTTTACAATGCTTCCAAACTGCTTAACCAGTCTCTTTTAAAGTTTGCATGAAACACATGTTAAATCAATTGATGTATTTGAGTCTCTTTTTTCTTGGCCTTATTTTTTTATATATTTTATAACAGAGAAAACTCCTAAATCTATCCACCACCACTCTCAGAAGGGAACATTCAATTTTGTTTTAGAAGTTATTTAAATATAAAATAACGTGCTGTTTTATTATTAATTTTGGAGTGTCGGTAGACATCCAGAGTGCCTCAAGTCTCTGATTTTCTGTAAGTGATAAAAAACAGAATGAGGAAGTTCTAATAAGTATTTAGAATGTCTAATAGTTCTAATTAAAAACTAGTTTTCCAATCTCGAAAGCCAAAATTCTAAGTGAAAAATTAGGGATAATTTTAATATCCTTGTACATTTATACTTTCAAATGTTCTATAAAGAAAATGGATTGCTTTTATAATTTTTAAAAAGTTTCTAAAAAGAGAATCAAGAATAATCCTGTAGCAATAAGTACCTCTACTGCCAATAATATAATCTCTAAAATATTTTTTTTTATTGAAATGAATCACGAGTCCTTAAAAAATGGTCTATTCCTACTCTGAGTCAGACATTGGAAAAAAAAAGCTTAGGACATTTTGTTGTGCAAGAACTTACTGCAAAGTCCAGAATCCATCAAAGACTCCTGGAGTCATGCTGGAAGGACACAGAGGCCAAGTGGAAAAGGCTCCCCACTAGCTGGGATGGGACAGATTGAGCATCAAAAAAAAACCAATGGCTGTGATGAGTTGAAACAAATATATATAAACCCATGAAACGATGATGATACTCAAAGAATAAAAAATGAAGTCATACAAACAGACTATGAATATAAATTGAAAGGCAAAAACAATAAAGCTTCTAGAAAATAATAAGGGAAAAGTGTTAAATTGGACTATACTAAAATGAAGTACTTTAAAATAATAATCCCTGTCTCTTCCCACTGAATGCGCCTATAAAACCTGGACAGAATACATGGAGCAGCTATATGAGAATCCCAAAAAGTAAACAGCAGCAGGCAGATTAGGGAAGAAGAACAGAATCTGAAATACCACCCAACCAGTAGTGAGTGTTTTTCTTTCTCTGACATTCCCCAGCCAGGGCTCAAGAAAGCTCAAAACAAAGAAGTGGCCATTGGTGTAGACAGAGAGCTCTAGGCGTAGCCCACAAGTTCTGTCTTGAGGAGTAGAAAAGAAGTCTCATAACACTCAGAGAGAGTGAAGAAAATTCCTCATTCCCCACCCCGCTTTTCTTCATTTTTTCAAGTCCGAGCCCCGGACTGACTGCAAGGATAGGGGACACACACATCTAAAAATGAGGGTGGGGAGGCAGTGGTAAGTTCCCTCTCTGACTAGAAGATCTGCAATCCTAAGAGAGAAGGGTGAAACCTGTTGCATTTTCTGTCTTCTGCTACTGGGCCCTGGGTTGTAGGTACAACAGCAGGAAGTACTCAACAGGGTGGGTTAAATTAAGGCCCAGGATATTGCAGAGAGGAAGGCACTCTGGAAAACGACCCCATAAAGGTGTCTACGAACTCCTGGGCTCATCTTTGAGGTATACAAGAGTGAATGTGATCCTAAACATCATGCCAAAAACTCTGAAAATTGAACTAAGGAATGGAAGCAGAAGGAAAGAAAAAAGAGCACAATGCTGAAAAATTATTTGAGGAAATAACAGGTGAAAACTTTTCAAGTGAAAGACATAAACTTACAGATTCAAAAAGTTCAGTGAACCCCT